TGCTTTTGTCCCAAGCAACCACAGAGAGGCCTGAATCACAAAGCTAAGATCAGAATCTGGATCTGAAGCTTCCATTCCTGGTACTTGAATACAGAAATTTTGTCTAGGGGTCTAAGGCTCACCCCAAGGATATGAAAACACTTTGTGAGAAGGTAACATAGATGTGCATATTTTCTAGCGAATGTTAATCTGAAATGGGATGTTAACATTCTGCAGGCAAGTTAACAGCATATTTGCATATCAGGCCTTTGATATTGAAAGTTGTAGCCTTGAATCTGCATGTGAATACTTAAATAAGTGGCCTGATTTTCACATTTGTAACTGCTGTTGAAGTTCTAACTGCAACTGAAGTTGATGAATATTTGCAAGAGCAGTAATCAAGACAAATTCACTGTCTTACTTTAGAAGTTCACAGGTGAAAGCATGGGCCCATTAGGAATTTTCAGCTTAAGGTGAGGCCCTTGTGAAAGAAAAATATAAGGACAACCCAGGACAAAATCATCAAGTGAATTAGGTTTATTGCATGTACATGATGGGGAAGATTGATAAACTCAGAGAAAAGACATTCACATGCCTAAAGTGTTATGCTGGAGCCTTGGAGATTTCAGTCCAGCTCTTGGCTTTGGTGCAGTTTTGTGACTCTGGGGTAGTCGATTAGGCCAGGATCTGCAAAGATCTCATCCAAGATGAGGCTGTCATCCTCAAAGGTCATTCCAGAGCCAATTAATTACCTCTGAAGATTTAAGTTTTATTTCTTTGTGCCTGACTTCTCCTCTTTTATAAAGTACACAGCTGCATAGATTGAAGCTGCCTGTCTCCCAGGAGATGTGTTTGAGTTACTGTGACTCTTTTCTAGAGGTTCAGAAAAAGAAACACTCTAAAGTATACAGCATGGAGGAAAGTTAGTTTAAAGGCCCTAAGAAGTGAATGATTAATATTATTATTTTATTAAAGAATATATACACTATAAAAACAGCAGAGGATTGACATAGGTTACATGAATAAATAAAGTATTGGCACAGTTCTTAGATACAAAGAGTACAGACCTCAGACAATGTAAGTGAAACTGGGTTTTCTTTTTGCAAAAATATAATTTGTGAGTTACCAAGTATACTTTAAAGTATGGATCTAGAAGACCTCTGAAAGAAACATCACCTTCATTCTGTGTATTTTGCATGAAAAGATGCAAATTATAGGTATGAGCTTATTTTTAAGACTTTATGAACTTTAATCTCTTAAAATGAAAACAGAATCTGTAACTTAGAAAAACAAAGGCTTGCTTTCTTCCTTTCTGAAATAAATCTACCTTATAATCCTCTGGGAAGGATTCAAGCAATATATTTCACTCTCATCACATTTCATAAACAAAAAAAACTGACACAGAAAAAAGCACTTGAGTTGGATTATAGTTTTGCTCCACACCTTAGAGCCAGGAAATTCATCTACAGGTGACACACTGGTTTTCAATGCAACCTGGTTTGTTTTCACAGTAATGCCAGTGAGAGACACTAGCTGAAAGCTGAACTTCCTGCCAGGAGCTGACGCAGGCCACACTTCTAATGCAGGATTTGCATTATTTATTTCTCTTTTGCATTACTTAACCTAATATATTGTTGGGGATTGCATTGTTGGGAATATTCACCCCACTGAAGTCACTGAGGTGATTTCCCTATCATGCTTTCCACTTGTGTAATCTGATTTATTTTTCCCCCATCTCATATGCCTTAACAAGATCACTTAAGTGAAAAACACTACAAAGATTTTCTTCTGGTATGTGGTGCAGTACAAGCTTCAGGCATCTAGGCATCAAAGGCATAAGTCCCACCACCTCTGCCATTTCTACAACATCAAATTCCTTGCACATGTACATAGTTCACAAGTCTCTTCAATTCAGAGGTTAAATGGTTCTATTTCAGGTGTGAAACAGGTGAATATGTGAATATAATTTGCATCTGATCATTTAATGCCCATTAGATTCCATGGAAATATTTTATTTGAAAAAGCCTAAGATGAAGCATTGTATGAGTAAAAACCAGTAAGAAGGGGATGTTATAGGAGGGTACCAACTGAGAATATTGTTACTTACACCAGAAATAAATTCACAGCATCCCTTTGAAAGCATCTTTATTTAAACACAGATTGCAAAGCAAAACATATTCCCTGCTATTACTTGCATCCCAACATTTAAATATTTCTAAACTTATTCCCAATTAATATCAATGTGATTTTTTTTATATCTTGAGCAAGATAGCAACCAGCAAACACTAAAAAAACCCCAGAAACAGAGTCAGTGCTGAAGTTTATAGCAAGTGGGTAAGTTAAGAGCCAGTGGGTATCAGGGCCCAGCAAGGACCAGTGGCTCCCTGATGGACTGGGAGCCAAGCACCATATCCCAGCAGGCGGGGCAGAGGCCTCTCTGCCCGGGCTCCCTCCCACACTATCCCAGCTGGGCCAGCCAGGGGGGCCCAGAAATCACAGCCAGGTTCAGCCACCATCCACCAGGCAAGTTCAGGGCAATGAGGCAATCCGAGGTCAAGCCAGAAACTCAAGTGATAGGTCAGGGGTCTGGATCAATGCAGCCCATGGCCAGGCAAACCCGAGGCTGAGGCTGAACCAGAGACAACTGCTCCTCCAATGTAGTTCAAAAGAGTGAAAATGCCAGAGCCTAAAGGGGCTTCTGGGCCCATGGGTGATGGAGTGTTTGGGGAGGCTCTAGGTGAGACTCGTCAAGGCCAAATGGTGCACTCTGGGCCCTCACAGCAGGCAACCTCTGTTGCCGTGAGATCCCTAATGCTGGAAATACTTTTTTCACCTGCTTGTTGTGCTAGAGGAGTTCAGCACAGTCATTAAAGAGTTAGGCTGGAAATACTGAAGGAACAAAACTCAGGAAGAGTCAGCAGCCTTTCTTCATTCAGCTACACACTGCAGAAGTTGAAGTTTCAGCTTATGAGACCATCTGTGACCTTTCTGAATGTTTGATTTCTTCCTCAACCTTACCCAAATCTTCTGAACAGAAGTAAAACTCAGTCTAAATAATTTCTGAACAACAAAGGAAATATACAGAGGTTTTCCTTCCAGTTATTGCACAGCAGTAAAGCCCTTTCTGAATCTCATTGCCTTCACTCTTCGAATGACAACTGAGCTTTAGAGACATATCTCTTTTTTTTGTAACTGTCTCCAATGCATACCTCTAAGTGTAAACAGTCCTTCCCTACTATACTGTGTGAGGTTACCTGTTCAGTGCCAGATACTGAAGGGATTTTAAATCACATGTGCTTGCTCTGGGCTTGATCTCATGTCCCTCGTCAGCAGCAGCAAAATTTGCCAGTGTTGTGTTTCCTGGCCTTTGGTTTTGCTGAAAGCTTGAAAGCAGCATGATTTTCAGAGTGTATCTTCAGTTCTTTTTGTAAGCCAGGTATATTTGAATCCCAATATAGCTACCCAAAAGCACATCATCATTTGGAAAAAACCCTTGTCCATGGATTTCATCATTCCTTGGGTTTTTAATATTACTACTACTGTCACTGGTGATGAAGTTTTAGACTAAATTTGTTTATATTCCCAAGTGAGAGGTGTTATATGGGGGCAGCTTATTACTATTAACAGGCACTGCACATTTTTTTTTTTCTAGGGAAATTGCTTTTACTGTTGCATCAGAAAAAAAGAATGAAGAAGTATTACCCCTGACATCATGCACAATGAAATTAAGTGCTTTCCCCCACATTTTGGTCTGGTATTTCTTTTTGAACAAGATACAAATAATACATTAGCAGGGCACATTGTTAACGCCAGTAGTGTTGTCAGTGAAATGCATGAGAAATGTAGAATAAAACCTAAAATAAAATGCTTGCCTCTCATATACATTTTGAGCTGCATGCTTAAAAGCTTTCCAATGTTTTTTAAGGTTCTGCCTTAATGCAGTGTTCAAACATGGACTAAAATTATGTTCTTGTATATTCCTCTGAACAGGAATAGAATAAACTAATGCCCAAGTGATTTTCAGAACTGATGACAAAGAGGTACTCATATTTTACTTTATGTGAAACAGAATAATTTATGATCCCAAATTGAAAGTAACCTGCAGCAACAAGTTACTGCATGTGTACACAAACCACCCAGGAAATAGCAAGCTGTTGACTGGCTAACTGAGCCTTCTCTTTTGAACACAAGTGCTGCATTGTATTGTCAAGTCGATTTTGGAGTTTGTGCTTGTAGTGTTTTGCTGTGTTGTTTATGAGCATGTCAGCCTACGCCTGGAAATTCTCAGATTATCCATATGGGCCATAACTGATAAGAAGCTTCCGTTTATTAATGATATGTGCCATTCAGCAGCCTCAGTGAAATCAGTGTCTGATATATTAGACAGGGAGGGTCTCATCCCAGGGGAAGTCCTCTCAGCTGAATCCTCTTGTAGCAATACCCCAGTATCAGTCCCTATCTTTCACATAAAGATTTTATTTGCTGTCCATTTAGCATCAGCCAGGATGAAAAATAACATTTATACTTCCTGCAGGTGATCCAGTGCTGGCATGGCTCTTAAGAACTGGAGCACACTGGTATCTCAATCATTTTAGCTGCTGACAGGTGCAGCAGATCAGAGCTCAGTGCTATTTATGTGATTTAAGTGTTTGATAGGATAGAATGTTTTGCCTCTTGGCAGTCTAGAAATTTGTTAACCTGAAAGGTAAAAGAAAAGTTATTTTCCTATTCACAACAATGGCAGAAACAGCCTCTTGCACTTATGACAGAATGGGTTAGAGTGGCTGTATCCATTTCTTGTTTTGTCCAGGACTTAGCATTTTTGGTCCAGATTTTTTCCTTTAATAATATTTGGCTTTGATAAGAATATTGGGATTTCTCTTTGCAAGTGCTTCACTAACAAGTTGAAGCAAGCAAAAGACTACCGTACCATTTCAGTTTTTCTGTCATTGAACCACTGTAGAGCTTATAACCAAAACCAAATGTCTCACGCCCTTTTTCTGTTCTTATTTCTTGTTCAGGAAGATCTACTGATATCCATGAGGAAAGACTCATTTTCTGTTTCCCATCTGATCACTCAGCCTCAGACCCAGCATGGGCACCCTTTTGGTCCGGAAACGCTAAGTATGGTTATTCAGTATGGCTACTGGTGTACTGTGGAGATTGTATGAAAGATAGATGTATCCATTCCCTCCTCCTTTTCTGCCCCGGGTCACCACAGTAAAATGCAGCACAATAAAATGTAATTATAGTGCTTTTTAAGGCAGTCTAATTAGGAAGTCAAGCTTTTCCCCATGTACCTTTTAGCCAGAAGGTATATAAAAGACTGGTAAGGCAGCAGTACCTATGCATGAAACATCCTTCTGCCAGGCACCCACGCTGAGGCTCATTCCCCACTGCCTCCAGTTAAGCAGAGTAAGCAGTTCCCAGTGCTGATGTTGCAGTGAGCACAGGCCCTTCTGCAGCAAGAGGAACGTGGGTAGCCCTCCTGGGGACTGCTTCAGCCCAGGCAGGTCCACACTTCCACCTGAAAGCCAGGTCTGACACAGCAGCCTCTCGTCGGCCTTCAGAACTTGCTCTTAATGATATTAAAAGTTCAACACCAAATCTGAAATCTGTGTTTGTAGCCCTGCACTTTTCATGCACATCGAGTTCACTACACCTGATCATTACTTACATACAAATAAGTTTTGCTCTCATGTGGAAGCTACTGCTGTGTTGTCACTGAAGTGGTTCCCCATACTTATCCCTAGCTGTAATCACTATTAGTATTATGAGATATGATCAAAAGGTCAGCGATGGGAAATTTGATTGATACATGCTGTACTAATATTGTATGTGAAGAATTTTAGAGGAAAAGGAGAACTGTTTCCTCTTTGTACATAACTCAGCTCTTTAAGATTGAAGTTTTCACCTTCCTGATTTACTTCATGTCAAACGGCATGGGTTCTAAAGCAGCTCTGTGGGACTCAGACCACCTCTCTCCCATAATAAAAATGACCATTATTTAGTCCTTACTTCTGTTTCTAACCTTTTATTCTTCTACATGAGTCCTTTCTCCTCTCCTTTTTTAAGGAGCCTTTGGGGGCAGACATAGTTGATTTATTCCATGGAGCCAGAGTATCCTTACCACCTGGGTCTCCCCTGCCTGCAGGCATCAGAGCAGGTCCCGAGCCACAGTAAAAGCTGTTAACCCTTCCCCGCTATTTCAGGCATAGGCCTCTCTTCACTGACTATATTCTTCATTCTGTTTTCTACTAATTTTCCTGGTAAAGGCATCAACTTACTGAGCTGTAGTTTTCCAGACTTTTAAAAGACTTAGCTTTAGAACCAGGCTATTTTATAGTCTGATACCAAATATATGTATTTGTATATGTATATATAAGTATAAATGAGAGGTTTGGCACCTGATAAGTTTTATCTCCACATATAGCACGCTAGAGTCAGGATTCCCTTCATGTGTTCTCCATTTGACTATTCCTTAAACCTTGGAAGCCACTCTCCATTCTAATAGCCTCCTTATCACTGTTTAATTACATGGGCCCTTATAACAGCTTTCCAACATAAACGTAACAATTTTTTCTGCAGTCCCGAGTCAGTAGAGCATTTTCACAAGTTCCAAGTCTGATACATAAACCCTGACAGCCCTGACACTACCTTCACCCCTGGGAGAGTCGGTTTAGTTCAGCTTTACCAAGTCAAATACAGGCTTTTCTCAAAAATAATTGTCAGAGAAATAGATGCATCTTTTGGACTACACCACCTTGTGGTACTTCCACTCCACTGCACCCCAATTGTTTTAGAGTTACAGGGCAGGCACTACTCCAGAGTTCATCCTTGTTTTCCTATATTACAGTGTTGCTGAGTTCAGTTAGATATCGTTCTTAGTATTAGTGTTTATATTGGAATAGTGATTTTTTTTTCCAGTTCTTTTGAGACCAGGAGAAAGGCTAACAAATGTGTAGTCACAAGAATTTGTGGTCTAAACAGTCACAAAAAGGTGAAGTACAAAGGAACAAGGCCAGTGTAAGATAAGTGGTTGGCATATGAAGTAACTTTTATTAGTATATCATCTTTCCATCAAACTTGTAAAGGCAAGAGCATTTACTCAAGTTATGTACCAGGAAAGGCTTGCAATAACAAGTTATCTGGAAACAGACTTAGTAGAAAAGAGAGCTATAGAAAGAGATCAGGATAGCCAAGCTAAGTGAGAGTTGACAGACATTTTTACATTCACAGGAACTTCTGATAAAATCCAAGAAGTGATTGGGTTTTCTTTCAGCTAATAAATCAAGTATAAAATTATACATTTCACAAGAGATTTAAAGTTAATAAGTTTTATTTCTAAACATCAGTGTTTGAACATATACTGCATTAATTTAAAAAATAACTCCACTCCTGCAAATATTTTAACAGCATATGACTAAAATTATTTGTACTCAGCAGAGGCCCTGGCAGCTTGTAAAATGTAAATGTTGCAGTGACATGTGCAAGTGGGCCATAAATCCTGGATACAAACATAAAATATGAAGATCTGAGTGTCTTAGCTCAGTCCTTCTTAACTATATTTGCCCTTGTATTTGCTTTTTGTAGTAAAGTGAGAAAAGCAAGCAAAGCCAATTTCAGTGAAGATCTTTGTCCAGGTCTGTGTTATGGCTGCTCCCTGGCGTTACCATAAGGTGCGCCAGGGAGCAGCCCCAGACCCCGGGGTGGCGGAGTAGAGAGGAGACAGGACTTTCTGGGGCACATTTTGCTGCAGAAGCCAGCAGGGGCCAGTGCAAGCTCACTGTGTCAGGCTTCAGGCTGTGCAGCACAAGCCCAGGTAGCCCTTGCAGGCACCCTACCCCACTACTTCCCTGGCAGCAGCTCAGCACACCCCTCCATCATGTTACCTGCGGAAAATCTCCTCTGGTACCGTAACAAAGCAAGCTGAGCAGAACCAGAGAGTGTAGCCACATGGAACCCAGAATCCAAGTACCAGGCAAGGCTGTAGCAATCAAACAGGACCATAATAAAACTAAGAAATCAATCCTCAAATCACAAACAGATCATCCAGTGATCACCCGCCAAGTCTAAAGTGACAAGAAAGCAATCCATTCCACAAATCAGGATCAATAAGGTCCACAGCCAAGAACAGATGTGCCTGCCACTGAGACAGAAAAGAATATTCCTCCAGCACAGCTCAAAAAGAGAGCAACCTCTCTGGGCTGAGCTTAAATAAGGTCGTGGGCCCAACTGGGGAAGTTCCAGGTGAGGCAAATCAGGATCATTAAAGTGAATTGGTGCCCTCTGAGCAGAGACACTGAAAGAGAGGTTACTTTTCATTTTGCAGCATGGAGTTACTCATGTGTCATTGCTGTATGAAGTGTGTTATTCTGGGAAAGAAACATCTTCTGCACCTGGCAGGGCCTTGCTCATTTCTGGGAGGAAGAGGAAGCAGAAGGATTCAACCCCAGAAGAATGTCACCTCTGATGAAATTTCAGGTAACAAAGGCAGCTGTCTGTGAACAGCAGAGACAAAGGACTGTCCCTCTTTGAAAAACATTGTTATTTAATTTGTGTTGTTATATGTCAAGAGAGTAATGCTAGGCTTGAGCATTCACAACAATCTTGTAAAAATGTTTGTTGATCTGTGAGTCTTTGATTTCAGGGCATTTCACTAGATATGCCTTAGTTTTTCACAAAGGTTTCTGAAATTGTGAAATGTATTGCCATAAATTAAGGCTTGAAAATTCAGTGCCAGCTCATGCAGTGCTACTGAGCTGACTGGTACAGAAAGGCCCAGGGGCCAAAGATGATCTGTGCAGATACCAGGTGCGCTGGGAGAGCAGCACTCAGCACCCTGTCCGTATGCCTCCCGTAATAGCCAGACATTTACTGCTAAGGTACAGTTACCATTGCTGCAATAACTTTTGCATAAAATTTCAGGCCTGAAATTGCTTCCATTCCTGCATCTGTTAGAACCTGTGCTTTCCACACAGATCTGGGCAAGCATACCATCCAACTGGCAGTCAGAGAATCACAGGATGGTTTGGGTTGGAAGCGACCTTAAAGCCTGTCTACTTCCAACCCCCCTGCCACGGGCAGGGATACCTTCCACTAGACCAAGTTGCTCAAAGCCCCGTGCAACCTGGCCTTGAATATTTCCAACCCAAACTATTTTAGGTTTTATAGGATTCTATGACTCTATAGAATGTCCCAAGGACACTCCTATTTCTCTACAGCTTTTTAACAGATTGATCATCTTCTTGTTGGAGACTGCCTCTGTCACCCAGCAGCCCACGGTTTCCTGTGGTGAGGATTGCCTCCTGCAAACATGGTACGTTTCCCTTGTGTGGCATGCATTGTAGAAGCTGGGACACCGCTGTTGCAGAGGCTGCATTTGCATTTCCAGTGGGCAGCTTGTTCAGATTCTTCACTTGTAAGGACGTGTGTACTGGCTAGAAGCAAGGTATCACCCGCAGGGCTGAGAATGACAGTTTTAGATGGATCAAATTCCAAACTGAAACACCCTCTGAACAACTCTTCTGGAAAGAATCTTTCCAGAATTTCAGCATCTCCTAAACAGCTATTGACTTGTTTATGTTGCCTTACACAGGAACAGGCAGAGCTCACAGTCCAAATCAGATAGTTATCTTCTACACCACTGTGTTCCATATGCCTCCATTCTCATCTGGCTCTGTTTTTCCAAAGTGCTCTAGACCACAAAGACATTCAGATGTCCTCAATGATGAGATCAAAATTTAGCCTTGTTAATTCCCATGTAGCCTAGCGTAGGTTGTAAATGTGTTAGCCAAGCAGTGAGAGAAGATTTAGCCCTTCAAAGTTAGAGATGCTATTGTTTCATCCAGCACCACTGAAATGCCACCGCCTCTGCCATCAAGCTGACACATAACTGCCACCCATAGCACGCAGTGCTCACTGCGGTCTGTGACCCTACTCATAGAGTTTGGGCCTTGGATATCTGAATGAGAAGAAAAATATGATCCATACAATCAGGAGCTCAGGAGAAGAATATGAATATGACACAGTAAGTATATAAATGTATTTACTCTTGGTAAAATATGCTAGAGAACTGAATGCCCACGGGAGTTATTTGTTATTGTAATAGAAAAGCAGCATCATGGAAAGACAGAAGTGATCCAGTGACTTTCAGCAAGAAGAGTGAGCAAAGTTGAGGAGTGTTTCAGTGTCAGAGGGTGAGCTTCATTAGAGAGAACTGAGGAGTCACGGAGGTCTCTTCACCAAACGCAAGGCAGAACCTCAGTGAGTCAGCCCAATCTGTTTCGGTTTGCACTTTCTCCTTTACTCATGTGAGATTTTCAAGAGCAAATTAATAAGTAAATGTCACAGATGGTTATAGAGTGTCTGTTCTACTGTCTGATTAGATATCTAATGCAGTGCAAAAATTGAAAAGTCAATTTTCTCTCTAAACAATTTTTTATGATGCACTGCAGGGATGTTACTTGCTTACGCAGTCAATATTCATTATGGGTACCTTTTTAAGTCTCAGATGCTGTTGATTTTATGCTAGCTTCCCAGCAGTTTAATGTATAATCAAGTTATTTGTGCTTAGCGGCATACAATGAAGAACTGTTTGCCACACAGAGCTACCAGGACGTAACGTAAAGAATGTCTGCCCTGCGCAGCAACAGCGAGTGAAGGAGAGTGGGCTGCTCAGGCACAGAGGCGGGCTGCAATTGCCATGCATTCACCCCATGCCCACCAGCTTCTGATCCCTCACTTCAGGATCACAGTGCAAAAATGAGAGTACTGTTTCTCATGCTATTCCTTTTCAACCTGAACACTTCTAGTGCACGAAGAGTCACACATGTAAGGGTAACTGAAACTCATTTCAGTGTGCTTTGCTACAGTGACAAACCATGTCCTCATCTGTAGAGGAGAAGCTCTGGTGTGTAATGGCTCTTTAAGGAATTCTGATTTTCTTCTAGAATGGATGCTAGAACAAATGAGGTGGTGTCAGTGTGAGTGTGCTCTTCGTACTGTTTATCTGAGCACCTGACATGAGAACACGTGATAGGAGCTGACCTCTTGCTAGGTGACTTGTGGTTCAGTCTCCCAGGTCCCCTAATGACGCTATGTACACTAAAAGGTTATTTTTCTTCAGTATTGATGGAGTTTCATCATTCTATGCCATTAAGAAACTTCATCCAGTAAATTAATGTAAAATATGGCACAGATGTCACATGGTTTGTATCACACATTCTTTACTAAAATTGCTTTATAATCTCCAATTTCCACATCCTCTCTTGTCCTTACCATTTTCTTGAAGTCTGTAAATTCTAGCAACACTGGCTAGCATAGGTTATAATTCTTTCTTAAAGTGACATCCATTTGGTGTCCCAAAGCAGAGTACTGTGTGAAAAAATCATACTTTCTATTGGCAAGTGTGAAGAGAATTGTATCTAGAAAATCTGGGCTACTTTTTTTAACCATTAAAGTGTTTACACAGACAAGGTGTTTACATGAGTGCTCTTTAGCCCATATCCAGCCTAGCCTTAAGCTAATTTAACATTAAGAGGGTTTTGCTTCATAATTATGACTCAGCATCAATTGCTGAATATTTATCTTAATGTAGTAGTATAATCATAGAATGGTTGGGGTTGGAAGGAACCTTTAATGGAAGTGCTGTTTACTTCAGACTTTTTTTTTCAAATATATCTTGCAGTTTATACACAAAAAAAAATTGCAGCCAAACTCTTCTCTGAAATTTGTCAGAGACTTGTGTGTGCTCAGAGCATCTCAGGATCTGGAACTGGGTAAATTTTCAGAAGATGAAATTCTGAGGGGAAAAAAAATACAGTATTTTTGAAAGTCTGACTGGTAGGGTAGTGAACACCAACAGCATGACAGTAAACAGCCTTCCGGATCCCTTGGAATTCAGTAACACACAGGCACGTTCAACGGGGCTTAGGACAGTGCTGCCAACCATATGCTCAAGATACTTAATGATGTTATTACACAGTGCCATGTACTGCAGCAAAGACAAGAAAACAATGTCTGATTTGCATTGTGTTCATTAGAAATTAAACTCAGACTGATTACTGGTAGACTTTTTTGTATGAGGTTCGTGTGTTTGTAATGTGACTCTAGAACTGATCTTCAGTGGAGCCAAGACATTTTCTGTTTTTTCAGTGAGTTTGTGGAGAAAATAATAGACTTGTATATGTATGTCTATGATGCAAAATATATTGGAATTAGAGTTATTGCTGAAGTTTTCTTTATGATTTGGGACTTCCTATGATGAGGAGAATAAGGAAAATTTGTGCACAATAATTGTCCTCTCTCAAACGGTCATACAACTTTGCAAATAAAATCTTCCCTTTCAGATGCAATCTAAAGGCAACTGTAGAAGCAACAGAAGAAAATTGGTGGTTTTGAAAGGGCAACTCACACTGCAGCGGGTGGGTATGTCTTCACAGAAATTACGGTAATAGCTTCAAGTCAGAATTAGGTTTTGGAGCTTCCCCAAAACTCTAGTTTAGATCTAGTATGACCATTTGATTGTGGAGAGTACTGGACTGGTATTTTTAAAAGGAATAGAAAATAGGAGACAGTCCTCATTGTGACTCAGCTGCCTTAAGAAAGAAGTAATAAAAGAAATTGTGGTCAGATGCTACAGTCACATGACCCTCAATTGATCATTACAGAGGAGTGAATGATCTGGGCAAAAAGGATCCTATATTGTGAAGAAGAGGAAGGATAGAGGATGATTTTTGGGGGGAGGGGAGCGTGATAAGTCTTGACTGTGTTTTTCAAAAGCAAATGTAAACTAGGGGTTTTGTATTTTGAAGATAGAAGAACACAGGTATAGAGTGACATGTAGAAGGAAATCTGAGGAAGTGATGGTTTATGTAAAGTTTTGGATTTTATGAAATATGGAATTTAGAAAACTTGAGTGTGGGGGAGTTAGGGATTGTAAATACTGTGTAAAGTGGCTGGGTGTGGTGAGGTTGTGATTTTGCTCCTTACTGAGTGCTAATGGGAGTGAGGAGTTGTATGACTGGGACAGGGCAGTTTCCTCTGCTTCTGCCCTTTATACTATTTTGTAGCTCCAGGCAATGAAAATCCTTGTATGGCTTTATGAAGTTCTATAATATCAAATGAGTGACTTAATGGGTGTATAATGCTAAGCCATGATGCATGACTAATGGTGTTTCAGGTGCTTAGGTAAGACCTGCTCCTCTAACACAGTGGCTCATGACAGTAAATACAGTGATATCTGCAAACTGCTTTCCACACAGGCAAAGGTCAGTGCCTGAGAAGTTCCAGGTCATCAAATGGGTCATCAAAACCCATAGCCTTTAGCAGATATGCTGCTGCAAACATTAGCTTTGCTTCTTTTCTATTCTTTAAGGACTTGTGCCTCCTCTCCCCCCCCAATTCACAAGTTGTTGTGTGTGAGGGATGATGACCCGTGATTGATTATAAGGCATTGTAGTGTATATGTCCATTGCATATTTCATTATCTGAGCTAATAATTTGTTTTCTGGTTCCCATGTTCCATATTTATTAGTGGTGGCTGCAAAACATGTCCTGGCACACAAGTATTACTGCTGGCACCTTGGTGTGATGACAGAAAGTTATCTTGGTAAAGAATAGGAGGCCCTTTGCAGGGTAAATCCAGTTGTTTTAAATTCCTTTATTTGTTGCCGTTGTCAGTGTAGTCCTCCTGGTAGTGTTTGTAATTATAAAGGAAAGAATTGATCATTTGGAATTGATCACTGTGTTTGGAGTTAATCATCTGAAATTGTCCAGAAAGAGTTGTTTGCAAATAGTATCAGGGATTTGCCTTCTTGTTATAAAGCAGAGAAATCTACTGTGTGCTCATGCATATCCTGTTGTGTTTATCAAAACACTTCTACTGAAGTCCAGCATGCATGTATGATCTTGCCAGCACCAGCCTGTTTATTATGCTTGTGTACTGCAAAAATAGAAAAGGAATCTCTTAGTTTTTCCCTTTTGAGATTTTTTTTTTCTACCTTTAGTAGTCTGTTAATGATTTGAGGTCAAGTTATTAAACAGCTGAACTTGAATTTCCAATTACTTATTAACTTAAAATTATTTGAATATTAATCATGCAAGGAGCCAGAAATGTAACACAGCCTTTAAAGACTCGAGGATCATCACATTCCCTGCCTGTTCTAAAGAAATCATGGTTACCCTTTCATTTAAGGGGTGAAATAGTATAACCAAGTTGTAACTTGTCTTAGATTTCCAGTGCATATAAACTATGTTTATTATGAAAGATGAAAAAATAATATTCCTGTGCATTGACTATTTACTTTCTTACGGAAGGAACGGAAGCATTCTAATGCCTGCTATGTGGCCCTAAAGAGGTCTCTCCCCCCAGCCTGTGATACCTATTCCTAGTCTGCACTGACCAGTCTCTGCAAAGTACTTAGCAGGTAACTGGGTGTGACTCAGAGAGATCAGAAATAGGCCATTTGCAGCAGTAGTTCAAGCGTGAGAGTGAAAACTAGAAGCAAACCTGAGGCACCTTCACGGAGCCAATGTGAAAATCAACACACCTAGTTTAACTGGAAAGGAGAACTATAATTCTTTATTACTTTTAATACTTCATTGTACTAATTTTTTTACTGAGACATCTTTGCATGAGTCTAAGTAATTTAAGCATTGGGTTTTCAAAACTTGTTTGTAAACTTAAAAGGCTATCTCCAAAAAGTTAAATTAATCTTAAAATAAAAAGAAAACCTTAAAAGTTGGGAGTCAGGATGAAGCTTGAGTTACACTGATGGGTTAACATCCCATTGCCTTGTTGTAAGCTCCAGTTATGTGGCCTTCAGTTTTAAAAATTCTCCAATACCTTCTGATACCTAACAGCTTTATGGTGTAAGTGTCCAGCAGGGTGGCAACCTTGTCAGAAACTGTAATAGATTTTATACTACTTTGGTTTAGAGACTTGGAGGTGCCAGACTGTGCTTGCTCTCTGATGCAAGAGCGTCAGGCATACTGCTCAGGTGTCTGAGGCTGTGATAGGAAAAATCAAACCTGTGGTTGTAAACAAGTTGGGAAGTTGAATGGGTTTGTGTTAAACAATTACAGAAGAGACGGAGCAGCTCCAGAGGCAGAGCTTGGTGTGAAGCTCCAAGCCCAACATAGCATGGAGCTTCAATGCTGCTGTGACTTAAGCAAAAATCTCCTATGTTGACTTCTACCTGTGTTTTGAGAGACTTCTCAGTGTTATATGTACCAGCGAAATCCTTACTTAAATATTTTTTTCAGGTGTAGAGCTAGAAACTGCAGCATAAACTGTCATCCCAAATATCAAGTATATTGTGTTGTGTGTACTGCAGTGAGTCTAGCTCTTGAGGAGTATACCAGAGGATAATGATGTGATCAGGAATCAAATATTTATGGGTCTGTACTGCATCTCCCTAACAGAAAATTATATAAAGCATAATGCAACTTGATATAAATCACAGTGCAATAAGATGGATATGAAGGGAAATTCAGGCTCAGTATTTTTCATGCTCTTCTCTCTGTAACTCCCAGTAACTTCCAGTTTTTGGTGTGGTCTTGTGAATAAATTGCTGGCTATGAATGGATGGGCAAACAGTAGGAACTTGGAAGGTGTGTGTTGGTTCAGATGTTTTTTTACAGCTTAAACATCTGCTTATGTGATTAGCTGCTGAGCAATTAAGCTAAGCAGCAATGCTGTCTCTCTTACAGACAGAATTCTTGCCCAACAAGTAGTATTCATAACACAGTTAAGCAAAAATTTAATATACAGCCGTATGTGATTGATCAAGCTGTGTTGCCACAGCTTCTGTCCTAAAGTTATAAATCCATATATATGTACTTAGGTCTGATGTGATTGTATGTATTGGTTACTCCACCAAACACTAAAGATTGGCATATATCTGGAGAAGAAAAAATGACTTTATGAATTAGAAAACAAGCAAGACGAGATTAAAGCATAACCATGCTTCCAGCACAGGATGTTGCAGGGTGTGCCCTGTCAGCAAATGATTACTAAGAGTCAGCAGGTTGCCTCTCCTTATAAAGTTAGTGATTAAAGTGTTAACTAGAGCCTCCCCGTAGGTGTAACCATGACTAAGGGAGCACTCCTGTCAGGCGCTTGGAGGAAGGAGAGTGGGTAGGTAAATACTCCCGACATGCACCGAGGTGTGGGGAGTGTCCTGGCTTTCCAGCACTCCCAGCTTAAGCCAAAGAGTCATTAAGAGCTCTGTGGGTTCCATGAAGTAGCAGCAGTAGCTGTCGGCCGGTGCAATGCTGTCATGCCTCTTCCAGGGCTCAGTGAAAGATATGTGTAACTCCTCCTCTGCTGCTCCTGCTCTGATCCTGTGCACAGGTGAGTGAGGTGGAAAGCTGGGGCTGCTCTGCCTGCTGTGTAACCTGCAGTGTCAGTAGAAAGCGGGTCCTTCGCCGTCACCCAGGGCTTGAATCAAAGTCCTTTGTGGTAATTAGGGTGCCGGAGGGAAGGAGAAATGTTGAGTCAGAAATTCTCATCTAAAAAGTTCCTAAATCTCAAGGTGGCTTGTGTGAATCAGAGTTGTGATTAAAATGGGCAGATAATAGATAGTGCTGCCGCTCGGTGTGTACATGGGCATAAGCCTTCGCTGCCCTTCATTCAGTCGGCGGTGTGATTTAAAGGGTTACATCAGTGACCTTGCGTGTTCTTTTTGGCGGGTAAAAGCTATCTTTCCTAAGCAACCTGAAATAGAAAGTAACTTCTCTTCATAATAACAGATTATTTAGTGTTTGAAATAGATTTGGTGCAAGCCCTGCTCTGTCATCGTTGTGTCAAGGGACGGAGCTTGTGTGTCTCCTCGTGACTCAAGGGGCCCTTTTCACAGATGAATACCAACTTTTGGTGTCAGTAATCAAAGCCTATTCTGAACCTGCCTAAGCAGAAGATTACACTGTGCTTTGTGTTCAAATAATGCTGCTGCTGCGTTCTACTGTAGCAGTTAATTTTTAAAATGAAGTGTAAATAAGCCTGCAAGATAAAAAAAAAAAAAAAAACAAAACACCTTATTTTCAATGGGGAAAATGCAAGTGTTTGAAGTACTTTCTTTTGATTAGACTTTTGCTTTGGCAGTGAGGACATGTAACTTAAAAAACAACATGAAGGCTTCTGTAATTAGAGTGGGTGACTAGGTTAAGACTAGTAAAGTTGTTCTGCTGATACTGAATTTCTCATGTATGTGAATAAATCCTAAACTAATTTTTATAGAAACAGGTAATGGTTCAAAATTTTGCTAAGTACCAGACACTTCTGAATTTAGAAAATTACTTAGGCATATGTGCTATTGTGCCCGCAGTGCATAGCTCTGTGCTGTACAAAATACTGGTAGCTAAGCTGATGGACAGCTGAGCCTTGTGGTTTCTATACAGGAAACAGAGAAGGTTCACCCCATCCTGAGTTCCTGTCGTTTTGGAACAACTTTAGGAAGCACTGGGTCAAAACATCTAGAAATCTTCCGGGAGGTTTGGGATTTGAGTTTTTCTTAACGCTGGTAAGAGCTCTGTGTAGCACACTGCTTGCTCTCCAGTCCCCATCTTAATACGTGGATGTGCCAAAAAGCACACCCAGGCAGTTACATAGAAATTGAAATGCTGCTTTGCTCCTGCTTGGCTCAACTCTGGATTCTGATTCCAGGTGTCCCTCTCCTTCCAGCCTTCCTCTACAGTTGTGTCCTTTTAACCTTGTGGCAAAATTGTGTGGTCATTTGCTCTTCCCTTTGCTTTGTCATTCCTCCGCTATTCTCTCCCCGTGCTGGCCCCTTAAGCAAATAACTTTAGATCACTGTACTTAATAAAATTTAAAAAGTCCTCTCATTTGCTTCTCCACTGACACTTTGACTTTCTTGGAAAAAAAAATGTTTTGGGTAAGACACAAATCTTACAGATAAGTAAAGCTCACTACCTTTGTGATATGGGTCTTGTGCCCTGATCTGACTTGATGCTCTTGCAGCTTTAGTGTTGTGCAGTAGTGGTCTTTACCTTTCCTTTTCCTAGAATACTCCAATAGTTGCAGTCCTCCTATAGAGTTGCTCATTTTGCATCTGCCCCACTTCTTATTTACTCCTGTTTTTCCCTTCTGTTTCTTTGCTTTCCTTCCAAAAGTATTTTAGGCTTCAGTCAGTCTTCCTCTGACTATTAAGTTTCTTCTTAGTTAAGTCTCAGGCCCAGGAGGTTAGTCCTGCCAAGGTCCCGCTTTCAAGGTCTTATCTGAGGGAATTGTGCAGTTCTAGTCGAGTAATGAAGATGCCTATCTGACAGTAAGCAAGTCAGGAGACAGCTTTGAGTAGAAGGCCACAACCATATATTGTTGGAAGACCTGGAAAATTAGCACGTTCCTGTTAGTTCAAATCAAAGCAAACAATAGAAAAAACACATTTCACTTATCCTCTTGGCTTCCTCAGAAGAACTGCAGGGAGGTGACATGGAAAACAGTAAAATACCAGGAAGTGATAGAAAATGTAGCAGCTTTGTGGATTTATGGAGCGCCAGTGTAAATATACTGTCATCTGTGGTGTCAAATACCAGGCAAGTCACTGTGTGTTCTTAACGCACAGGTTTCAGGGTTAACTGAAAATAAAGGCCATGAGATGTGTGTAGCCAAAATGCACCTATGGGAAGGGTACGTGAAGAAGTGTTTTATCTTTAGGCTGAGCTGGAGGTGTGGAAATATTTTGTACAAGCCTGATAAACTGTACTGCTCAGGTAACTGAGGCAAATGTAATGAACCTTTTTCGTGTTTCTGTGCCAGCCAGCTATAGGAGAAAAGTCCAGTCTTTGTCCAGGCTAATTGGGCACCGAGGGGGAGGCACTAGTGAAGAATTGTTCCCATCACCAACTATTCTTCCAGTTTGTTTCATTGTTAGCATTTTAACAGGACCCAGCCGATTTTAAGATATGCTCAAGGTTTTTAAGACAAATACTTCAGTAAGAGCCATTCTCTGGGTAACAAAACAGGTAGGTCAGTGGTAATCTTTTTCTTGTGTGTGTAAAGATGACTTCTCTCAATCTGTAGAGATCAGCATTTTCTTTCATAGCAATCATCTTAAAATGAAATTGTACTGAGAAGAATGCAACCATGAGCAATGAAACTGTGCTAGAGCTTGCTAGAGTTGCTGCTCTAGGTTTAATAGTGGTGACTTGGCTATCCATTCTTCTTAACATGTTGTTTCCTGACAGATGGGAGGCAGCTTAAGTGTGTATCTAGTTATTCAAGTGCCAATGTACATAAACACCTATGCATCTTTTAAAATTGTTTTGAAACTACACTGGAGTAGGCAGTTGATTCAGTTAGGGGTATTAGTAAAGCACATAAAATCTGATTTTAAGGTGTGGCCAATGGTTACTGAACTCATTTCAGAGGCAAAGAAACACCACTATTATACTGGTGTACAGCAATCTTTTTCTCATATACGAACTCATGTCTGTACAGATGTCCCTGAGCTTATTTGGCTTTCAGGTATATTTTTTGTCTTGATGAATGTCACCGAAAGAACAATGGGTCCATAGGATCCATCCCACTTTTTTCAATCGGCTTCTGATCAAATGCTGGTAGAGACCCCCAACTGCTTGCATAAAGCTTGTTTTGGTAGTGCACTCTGGTTTTTGAAGTTGTGAAATAGAGAAACTTTATGTAACTTCTTCTAGAAAACAAGCTTGATAGTGTAGAATCATTTACACAGAAGCTAAGCACTTATTCTTTAGCTAGCCATGATCTTTTCAAGCTTGAATTTCTTTTCTGAATTGATTTTTCTGAAGGCTACTTGTCCTTAATAGTGTAGACAATAAACAACTTTTCAGATGTCTTTGTTCAGGCTCTGTCCCATGCAGTCTGAAATCAGACTCGAGTCAATCTCCTGGGGTAAGAGAAAATGGATATCAGGTGCTGTTAGGCAAATTCCTCGGTTGTCATGCCCAAATAAGAGAGAAATAGAAGTGGAATGATCAACTTCCAGTGTAGTCTTTGGAGATTTTACTGCTTTCCATGGGATATATTTTCCCCTCACATACAAATCTGTGTGATGCCACATCTAGGGCTGAAACTGTTTTTTTTTTTTTCAGTGCAGTATCAGTTGTCAGTCTTGAGTCACCGAGTCTCTTCAGTTACTTTTCTCAGTCTGCCTTTTCTTCTAGTACCTGAGGGGGAATGAAAGCAGCCATGACTCCATAATTAAGCTTATTGAAGAATGTGTGTTGGAGTCTCATGGCTCTGGCTTGTTGCCTACACAACATGCTGGAATCACTGCGTGGAGATCTGTAAATTATATTGCTACATCACTTTAATTATAGCCTTGTTCTCTCTTTAATATCTCAGCTGCTTTCTCTGTGTACTGCGGGACACTGCCAATGATCAACACTTCTCCTTGTTTCATTTTATGAACCTGGCTAAAGGTGGTTTGCTGAGTCACTTCTTTTTTTGGTTACCCTGGGCAATGCTCTGTCCATAATTAACAAATGAATTGTAACCAGTAAGTGGGTTGCAGTCTCAGTCTACTAACAAGTGAAGCATAATTATGGAGTCATAGAGTAGTCCTAAAACTTCTTGAGAAAGTCCTGGTATGTGTTGTACCTGAGGTTTAAGATACTGTGATATACTTAGTGGGAATACTTATGGCTTTTTTAGTAGGAGTGGGAAATTTGGGGGTATTAAGGCACTAAGTACAAAGGAGTCAAAATATGGTATAGTTAACCCTTAGCTTGCATGTCTGAGCCTGTTTCTCTTGGCAAACTCAGGCTTTGTTGTTGTTAACTGTTTAGCCTTTCTTAGTGACAGTAGTGGACACAATTAATTTTTAACCTTTTATTTAGATTCATCTCTTCTGAATAAATGAAGAAAGTGACTATGAAAGCACAACATCTACGTTCTGTTTCCATCAATGAGGATAAGTTTATAACCAGGTAAGCTTTTAAAAAAGAAAAAACAAAAAAAACTCACAAACAAACAGCACTTAATGACTTTGTTGCTTTCTTTCTAGTTACCGTATTTATTCATTAACAGGGGATCCTGTAGAGTGTGAGCCTGTAGCAGCAGCAGCAGTTCCTCGAACTTGCTTGCTGTGAAGTGTCTACAGGACAAATTTGCCCTTTATGTAGATTTCAAGGAACAGAGCATTAAACCTTTTGGTCTCTGATTTTGAGCATTTAGGTAGAGCAGTAGTTTTAGAAGATACTGAAATAAAATTCCAAATGAGGGAAGAAGACTGTCCTACCTTTGACATCTATTAAAATTTAACATAAGTTCCAGTGTTTAACTTAAGGCCTACTTGTTTGAGGCTTGGGGTTTGGTCTGTAGCCCCAGGTGGCAGGGTTTCTTTACAGAAAGGCCTAGCAGGCTGATGGCTCTATTCTGTGGTGAGTGAAATTGGTTCTTTAACCTCCTTATAAAAAGCTCAGAATTGCACTCAAACTGTATTTCATGGGATGCTTTTCCACTGTTAAATCAGGCTGGTAGGACTTCTTCCTCATGCTGCCATAAACCCTGAGCCGCCTGATGTATATAGCTCCATCCCTTTTTTAGGGGATTAATTTTTTCCTTGTTGACCAGAGCACTGGAGCTGGAAGAGGGGCTCCTTTCTTCATTTGTTTCCATCCTCCTTCATCACCCTGTGTAAATCTAACTGTAAATGCATGCAGGGATGGGGCCTGTGATAGAATATCTCATGCTGTAATAGGTATTTGCATCTGAATCCTGACGCTTGGGTATGTGGCATAAGCAGTGCTGTTGATTCTCCCTTTTTAAGGAAGGCTGTCAGTGTTGCCAAAAGCGCGCAGGCAATAAATGCTTTCCTCCCTTTCTGAAGAGTTGTTCCTTTTATACTGCTACTAATTTGGGATGTAGGGCTTTTGTGTTGGAGATAATCTGTGCAAATTTTTCATGTATGCGGCATACAGAAGCAGTTGGTAATGTACCAGATGAACCAATGTCTCTGGGTTTTTATTCCCTTTTATATTTGCTTGTTCAAGTGGTGAAATGTGGATCCTGAATGAGACCCTTCTACATTACAGTCATGGTTTCAAGTACTGTTCAAGTTTCTATGCTTCGTGAAAAAATAAGTGTTTCAAGAATCAATAGCATATTCCATGTGCACTCAGCTTTACTTCCAGTGTAATTTCCAGACTATTGTCCCTCATATATACCTTGAATCTGCTGTTACGTTACTCCTCTTCCAGTTGTATCATGCAAATCTTGCTGATGTGGCAAGCCTGCTGTTTTGGAATTGCTCAATAGCTGGATCAAAAGGCTGACCACAGCATGTGGAATTATTTGGCTGGCTGAACTATTGTGTCTTGAAGCACAGCTGCCATAAATATCCATGGGTAAATGTGTAGGGCTTGGGGGAGAAGAGGACACAGGTGAATCTTCCTGGGTTAGCATTTCAAGTGAACATAGTTTGGGCTCTGTTGTGGTTTACCACCAGGCCACTTGACCTCACAGCTCCCTTGTGTCCTGCCTTTGTTACTGAAGAAAGTGGTGAATCTGCAGTATTTGTTACCCTTTTTAGGTTTGTCTCTAAGTTGTTCTACCAGTTATTTAGCCTTGGCTTCCATTAATGGCTGCATTTGGCTGTTGTCACAAAGCTCTGCCACAAGGAACAGTTTTGCAACTCAACAGAGCTGCTTATTTTCTGGCAGCGTAACTGAAGAGATGACCATCTGCCTCTTGGTTAGGGCAGTTTTTAGGCCTTTGTAGTGAAGATGTGTTGCAGTAAGACTTGTTCTGGAACAAGTAGGCTGGTGCACGTGTTATTCCTTTCTGGAGCTGAAAGAAACAAATATTTTCTTCTGTCTCCACAAGGACAAACAAGTCAGTGTGAGCTGCTGTTAAATCTTTCCCTCAGGGCTTCTCTAATCGCTTGCGTGGTTCGTCACTGTTGGTTGCACTAATGCAAGACTGAAACCTGAAAGATTTATTTTGCAAACTTCTGTGGAAGTTAATGGGACGTTATTCTAAACAAGGCAAGAAACCAAGTATAAAATGTTCAGACCTTGCTCTGAGAAACATACTACCTCAGAGGTAAACCTTGGCACATCATCTGGTGCTTTTATTTGCCTTTGCAACTGACATGGACTGAGAGTAATAGATGGGCCTCAGAGTGTGGTCCAAGTCCTTATTTTTTGCTGATCTGTCTTTATGGAACTGATCTCCCCAACTTTCTATCTGGAAAAACCTTGAAAAATAACAGCTGTCAATAAAATTATTGGTAATGTATTAGGCTGCAAAGTATGAAAAGACTTGTGTTTTAAGTGCCTCACAAGCTGGATCAGCAGGTCTATCCCACTATCTGTCAAACAAAACTACTTCTCTCCTACTTGCATGTTAATCTTACATAGCATCTGGATTTGGCCTGTGTCTGAGGCCAGGACGTGCTTAATCTTGCTTACCTTTAGCCAGCGTGATCAAAATTTCAGCTGTATGTGATTCATATCTAGGTCTATTAAAACTTACGCTTTTGGTGGGATGACCTGAACACAATCTCTCATAGCTCACCGGACACAAAGAACCAGTAATGAGCTATTCCAACACAATGGAAAGAACGGCTTTTACCACCTGCACTACTAGGGTTTAAGAGCAAAGTGACTTGAAGGAAATGTTGAAAATGTGGTTTTGGAGCCTAATGCTCTGTTCATAAAGCCACTTAATATTTTGGGGGGAGTTGCAGTAAGGTAGCAAAGTAAATAATTTACATCCAGAAGGAGTATCCGGAGTGTTAGAAGGGAATGCAGTTCATCTTGTTGAGTTTAGTGGTGCAGCCCTTCTCCCACTGTTACCTGCTGAGTAAAATCCCTATTTATCTTTTAATTTCTTGCCACAGGAAAAGGCTCACCCAGCAGCAGGACACTACCAAGTTCAACTCCTTAAATGGAGCAAAGGAGGGGTAGGGTATGCCAGGGAAAGCCTTCCACTCATGCAAGGTGTGTGCCCCCCGCCCCAGGCACAGCATAGCCACAGGAACAGGCCTCCCTGCTCCCCACACTTCACCCTCCAGTGTGGCCCCTGCCAAGGTGGAGGGGAGGAAGGCCACACTCCCCCTGACCAGTCTGTGTGTTGGGCTCTCGGGTAGCAGCGTCCATCGGTCCTGCTCGGGCACTCTGCTTTGAGGCAGTGTCAGATGTCTGTCTGCCTTGCCCCAGAGGAAGAAGTGCTACAGGTCCGTACCCCTGTAGAGACTTGCATGGTGACATAGTTCTGCTTAGTATTCTTCAGAGGTACCATGGGATCCAGATGTTTTGGTTTTGTATAACTGATTAGAGGTGACAAAAACAAAGCACCTGCCTTGAGCTCTCAGAGGCTTTGGACAGGACGTGCTGGAGGTGGAATAAGCACACCTGTGTCTTAAGCCACATAAGAGGGTGTACACTGCTGGAGTGAGGCTATGACAGTCCCAGGAAAAGATCCTTTCATTGTCTAATTGGTACGCTTAAAATCATGCAAATTAGTTTCTTACCAAAGTTATTCATATTTCTTTCTGTAATCCATCCTTCTATTCTCTTGCACTGGTTTCTTGGAGTTTCTCAGTATTCTAGGTGAGATTCCCTGAGCAACACTGACCTTTTTTAAAGTTTACACAGTCAACTGTGCAGCCATTTAAACAATCAGTTTGAGTCAATTGAGTCATAATCTGATCAGAGAGATATAATATGAAGTAATATTAATTTCAACCCTGAAAATATCCCTCTGAACTGCTTTGCAGTGGTGGACAAGTTGATGCCATTCCTAGGGGAGAAATCGCTCTTAGGTTTGTCATCTCTGATAAGGGTACCACTAGCACTGTTGAGAATGTCCTCATGTTCTGGGATGCGGGGGTGTTGTGACTGTTACAGGAAAACAGGTGTTAAGAATTCTGCTGCAGCTATTTATGGCAGTGTTTCCAATGCCTTCAGGCTGTACTGTAAAGTACATGTATCTCTCTCAGAAGGTGGTGTGTAATACTCTGCATATAGTCTTGGTCCATATATTCCTGCACCTCCAATGTTTTTTCTTTCATGTTCTTGGTGAACTTTGACTGTTGAAATATTAAACTGTAATTTCAACTGAGTGTCATCCCCGTGTGTGACTTGGTTTTCAGTGATGGTGCCAGAAGTCAAATCTTGGTTTTGGGGTGGTATTTTTTTGTCATGGGTTGTGTTTTTTTTTTTGTACTTAAAATTGGTGTAGGAGTTGTAATAGTGCTTCTGATTGTACATGAGTCTTGAATAGTTCAGTAGGTCTCTGTGGAACTTACTGTGAGAAAAGTTTGCAAAATGCTATCTGTTTTTCCTGTGGTTTAGCTGTTGTAATATCTCATACTAGACAAAAACATGGAAATAATAGACACTATTTAGAAATAAACTTGGTGTCTGCATTCACCACTGCAAGACAGTACATAAAACTATCTTGATTGTTAGTCATCTCAGCTGGTACTTAAGGATTTTCTGTGATGAAAAATTCATATGCTTCCATGCAATTGTTTCCCATGCTTAATTGTCTCTGCTGGTGGAAATTACTTTATTGAATTACAATCTAATTCTTTGCTGTTTAATTGGTATGGGGAAGAACGTTTCATTCTTGATGGCCCTGAAATACATATCACTTAATTCTGTCTTTTTTTCAGTCCTCAGTCTGAGCTGCAACTTGCTTTTTGTCTTCATGGTGGTTGCCCCTTACCACTCCCCCTGCCTTTTTTTTTTTTTGGACTCTGTCATCTTAGTGTTCATCCTGCCTCAAAAATAGCACCAAGAAGGCAGCGTGCTTTGACCAGACTTGGCCTTGAGCTGTAATTCGAGCAGCATTGCTCTGAAGAAGGTACTCCCATGTGTATCTCCTCGTATGGCGGTTACTTCTTATACAACAGCACAGCACTGCTGATGTGGGAGCAGCAGCTGCTCAGCAATGACTGGAAGGTGCTTTTCCATAGCGCTGGTGCTGGAGCAATTGCCCCGCAGCCTGTGTCTGTGAAACGTGGCATTTATTGCTTCTTACCTGTTGACAAGGGATATGTGGGCAGCACTGGGGACATGGGCTGTCCACGGCACGGCTGCTGTTTGCTGGGGGGGGGGGGGGGGGGGGGGGGGGGGGAGGAAGGCAGACAGAGCTTGTGCTGCTCTGGACTGTGACTTGAACCCAGCTGAGGTGCTGCAGCAGTGCTGTCTGTGCACCCACAGGCTGCTCAGGGCTTCAGGATGTCGAGTGGCCCAGGATCTGCTGAAATTTCCCAGGAGGTTTGGAAATCACACAGTTAAAATCCAGTAGTTGAAGTTCTTTCTTTCCAAATTGCTAAAGCGGGAAGGAGGTGGCTGCAGCCTGGGAACTGGGATGTGCAGTAGCTCTAATTTGGTTGGTCTGAAATTCCGTCAAATCTGAAATGTTTTTGGAAAGCGTCTTCTCCTGCAGTGTTGTGTATTTATCAAGGATGGAGACAGGTATAGTTACTACTAAGTTTTAAGCATTATTATCACTAGTGTGCCTCACGTTGCCTTCCTGCCTCAGTGCAGTGTTTTCAAAGCAGAATGTTGTGCTGCTTTTTTTAATTGAATCATGAATTTCTGTTTGAAATCTGAGATGATAGGCAGGCTTATAATCCTTGCTTGTTGGCAGAGGTTCTCTTTATCTCCGTCCTTTTTCCTCCAACCAAAGACTTAGTGCAAAGCTGTTATGCTTCAAAGCAAAAAAAAAAACCTGAAATGTTTTGTCTTAACAAACTGTAGGTATTTAGAAGAAGATTATCTGAGGAAAAAAAAAAAAAAAAAAAAGAAAAACCCAAGAGAAACTTCATGTGGGAAAAATAAATTGTAACCTAACTAAAATAATCTGCAAATTGGTGCACGGGAATGTTGTTCTTGTTTGTTTCCCCTCATGACTATAACAGAAGTCCAAAGTACAAGTTATTCTGGGGCAGTTTTATTAATGTCACATCAGGTGGTGACTGTGTATCAGGTCTTTAAAGGAGAAACTTATAAACAACCTGGTATCCTGACAGAATTTTACTCCCGCAAAACGGTGTATTGATCATTAACAACCCTGTACAAAGATGCAGTGGTAACACAGATGCAGGGTTTTACTCTGCCACTTAGCACTTGGGGTTTACAGTGACAGGCATGTTAAACAATTATTCTTTTTATTGTGGTCTTTTATTCTAGAGAGCAGCTCAGTTCTCTTCTGAAGATTTATAACTCTTACTATTCCGATCAAGAAAATCTGCAACTGTCATGTAATCAGGTAAGGATCTATGTAAAAATAATACAAAAAGCACAATGTAATAGTAGGAAAAGCACTAATAGGTGCTGATGTTTAATGCAGCTAGTCTGAACAGTGTTACCTTTGAATACCTGTTGTGTGTTAGTAGATTAGGTGGAATATATCACTGTAATAAAAACACTGGAACAAGTGCTAGAGTCAAATGCTGTGAGGAGAAGAGAGCAGAAATAGGTATGTTCAGACTAGTGGGAGTTTCAGATTTTTAACAGTGTGATCTCCTTGCCATCCCATTCCTTAGCATATTGCAGGAAACCGTTCTTTGGGTTGACCTCTCAAGTCTGACATCGTTAGCTGGGAGGGAGTAGGACTGCAAAGATTCCCTCCTGTCCCTTCAGCTTGAACCCACAGTGTGTAATGGCAGGACTGCTGTCACTGGGGTCAAGGACAGACTGCCTCTCCTCAAATGTGAACCTTCAGTACAGAGAAAATGCTCATAGATGTAGCCCCAGGAGTGTGTCCTCGGTGGGGACCAGAAGGGCCTCTGGAGCTGAAGGAGGGATGAAGGCATGAGTTGTGTCTCTCAGACCCGGGTCCCTGGTTCAGAGGTCTGAACTTCCTTCTCCTTCACAAGCTGCGTTTCTGTTGGTTTGCTGATATCAAGACCCAAAAGGACATTAAAGGTATTCTGGGCAAAAATGGTCTGAAAATGATGGGCAGTCCTCCCTTCTCTGTCGCAGCTCGTTCTGCAGAGATAGAGTTCGATGTCAGCGAGAATGGGGACCGGTAATAGGTTTGGGACCGATATGCAGTGCTTTGTATCAACAAGGGCAATTTCATTAACTGTTTCTTCCTCCTTTGCCAGCAGTCGTTCTTCCCCTTTACCACCTTTGTAGCACCCTGGTTTCAGAAGAGCTAGTCATCCAAGTAGAACAAATAGGATTTGACTTGTAATAGTATGAAATTATGGACATGGTGGTTGGAAAACATCCTGCGCGGTGTCAGACTAATGCTGACAGGAGATCAGGTCAGCTATGGCTTTAGCTAGGTGGTCTGGAAATATCTGAAGTATGAAGATTGCATAGCCTCTCTTGGTGACCTGTTCCAGGCTGTGTCAGCCTCAGCAACTTCATCGTATTCCTGTTTGTTTTTTTTTTTTTTTTCCAGCGAGAAGGAAGCAAACCATTTATTGAAGGCATCCTGCCGATATTTTGGGGAGTCCGACATCCTATCCAATTAAAAATTCAGGATGAGAAGCAGATACCCTCTTTTGTTACCCTGAAGTCGACAGAGAACGTGGGTTTGTTCCCTAGTAAGAGGTAATGGATTCACTTCCCTAAGGAGGAGGCGGGCCAGTATTTAGAGATGGCTGATGTAGGTGGCTTCAGTGGATGTGGCTGATTGTACATCCCAGATTGCCCAAGGGCTGTGGTGGTTGTGTGCCCAGCAGTACTCTGTGCCCGGTGTAACTGGCCTGGTCTTTCGACTGCTTCTGCAGGGCAGAAAGATGCATCTTTGTACCATCTTCATTGCATCTTTGGCTTTTGGCTTAAGAACAGCTGAGAAGGCAGAGGAGGTTGCTCTTGTCTATACTGACTATTCCCATGCAAGTACTGGGAAATTTATATACATAAATATTCACAAAAACAACCCCACATATATATATGTACACCAAATAATGTTGGTAGCCCCTGACAGAGCTCATGTCAGTGCACATTGTACAGCATGAAGCAAAAAGCTGGTAGGTTAGTGCTAAGTGACTGTCTAGCACGGGTTACCTTCCCAGGTACTTCAGGTGTGAAACCATTGTTTCTTAGGGCAAAGTTCAAGCCAGAGAATGAATACTGGCTCTGTTTGTGCAAAATCTAAGGTTAAAACCCCTTAGAAATATGCAGAGATCTGCTGCTGCCTATGATGTTTCACATCTGAGTGCGTTGTGATGGTCAGACTCTTGGCTGGATTCACCATATCTTTAAAAACTGATGTAGGTTCTTAGAGTATTTCTTCTGGTTTTGAATGCTATTTCCCAAGCCTTGGATTGGTGAGTTTTGAATTGTATCTGATGAGCTGAAGCGAAGTAATGTGTAATACAGAGGCTGAGCTGATGGTTTACCTTAAATGAAATAGGGGATTTATCACAGAGTCAGAGTTCGTTTTCTTAATTATCCATCACCTTAGATGGCATGTGGTACATGTTTGAATTGTGGATTTAGTTCTACCACCGCTGCAGCTGGGGAGTTCCAGTAAAGTCAGGGACAGTCTTCCTCCCCATCTCTTGCTGTTGAAATTAAAGGATGTAACCTGACAGGAGTAACTACCAAAGAACTAGAGTCTGAGGCAAATCGGGTTCTCTTCCTTCATCTTGACCAGGTCCGCTGGTACGGGGTGCCTGTGGGGTAGGGTCCTGTCTGGCAGTTGAAGTTCTGCCTTGCCTTTTATTTCTTAAAAAACTTACGACTGGTGGAGATCTGAATCTTAAAGTAAATATTAATTCATGATCACAGAAATGTGAAGCTGCCCAGACATGCTCTAAGGTATGCAGAGCACCTTGGCTGTTTGATCTTACGTGAACTTTTGAAATACATGGAACACAACTGAGATTGTCATTTGGCATGTTTGTTGGCGTTAGTTGAATATTGTTTTGAAGATATATAGGAAATTAATTTTTAATATTTTACTACAAATTGCTGTGTTCTCCATCAGAGCAGTAACTGGCCAAAGACTTTCTGCTGGAGAGTTTATGCAATCAAGTATGGAAATATGGGCATAAAGAAAGGGGTTTTTTTAAGTTTTAAAATAGGTTGGATGGAATTCCCTGTTCTTGTACAGAACTGGTTTGGATAGCATGAGGGGCTAGTGTGGTAATTTAATCTTTCATGTCCCCATCTGTGTAACAGATATGATGCACCCTGTGACTATTTAAATCACTGTATGTGTGTGTTTTCTCAGTGCCTGCCTGGTACACTACATGTGATTAATCTAGGGCATTGCTATATAGTAGATAAAGAGTTATTGCAAATTATTTAAGGAATATCATGGTTGATGTTCAACAGGCTCTAAATAGCATTGTGTTACATTTGGGATCCCTGGTCATACCACATCTTAGTAACCAATTTTGTTATGACGTAAACTAAAATTACTGGCTTCATGTACCACATCGAAGTCTGTAGTTGTGTTCTATAGAGTTTTGAACAGGGATATGAATATATTACATGAAGTAAGAGTATAAATTGAAATCACTCAATTAATTAGGAGTAATCAAATATAAATATGTTTGGTATTTCAGGGGAATGACACGCTGGGGAGAGTTTGATGACCTGCATCATATTAGTGGGGAGACATTGAAATCTGCTGAAGAAAAGCCAAACCTTGAGAAAAGTTAGTGTTGGTGCTCTTGCGTTCACTAAAAATTCTTTATTCTGTGACTGCAAAAATAATTTGACACGTTAGGCCTTCTGTACCTGTGAAGAGAAATCTTTCTGTCTCTAATGAACATCTATTACACGCTGGGGAAATGCTTGATTTTTCACTGATTAGTGGAAGCGTTGCTGTGCAGATAACTTTCCAAACGGGCTGTGCTCTCACCAAAGAAATCATTCCCAAGAAATGAACAAAATAGCAAACTGTGGCCACTGCAGGTAGCCTGTTGTTCTTCATTGCCTGCCTATGCCTCACTCCTCTCCCATTCCCCCCATCCACCCAAAAAATAATTAAAAATAATAATAAAAAAAAAAATAATCCCTCCACCAAGAGCCTCCTTCCTGTGAGGGTGCTGGCAAGGAGGGTGCAGCAGCTGTGCAATATGCCGATGCAATTTCATTTTGTCCAGGTTACGAAAGCCGCACTCTGCAGTCCAGGAGCGAGCAGGAACAGGGCTGTGGTACCCTGCCCGGGGCTGCCAGCGGCGCTGTGGCCGTGCGGAAGAGGACCAAGTTCCCCATGATAGCGAGGACAGAAGTAGAAACTCACAGGTTTTCGATTAACGGCCACTTCTACAACTACGAGGTATGAATGTTTGTGCTTGTCTTCCATCACCTGAGGTTGGGACAGATAAAAAGGTCCAGCAAGCTTCTGGACTCCCCTGCACCCCCTCAGCCAAGGGGTGAGTCCCCAGTGGCGCCCCCCTGCGTGGCCAGGCCGGTGCTGCTGGGCCTGGCCACCTGCGTACCCGGGGTGCCCTCTCTCCTGGGGACACCGCCAGCCCTTGCTGCGGTCCCAGAGCTGTGCTGGTTTGTGCTGTCGGAGTCCCGGCCGTGCAGTACAGCTGTCCTCATACTCACGCCCTTCCGCTGCTCTCTTTGTTCCTAGACATCAGTTTTTACTCCAGCTTTTGGATCGGAAACTAAAATAAGAATAAACAGCCAGATGAGAACAACAGAAGTAATAGAACAATTGCTTCGGAAGTTTAAGGTAACTGTGAGTTTACAGAAGCAAGTGCAGCCGTGTTGTAGGAACGTGAACTCGAGTGTGTCACACCAGTGCTGCGGGAGAGGCAGGCAGTAACTGGGGGGTGGGATAGTGCATGGGACAGTGCACAGAAACAAACCACGGGGACTGTTTTTAAGGAATGGGTTGGATTTATTTTACAGATGTTTCACGGCTTTTTGAGTCTGTAAAGTTTTACTGGGTATATAGTGAAGTCAGAACTACAGAACTGCTTCTCTATAAAGTCGTGCACAGGAGGAGGAAACGCTGCTGCACTTGAGTATTTCGTAGCCCAAAGGATGTTTGTTTAATGCACGCAGCCGTGCTTCCCTCTAGTGACGTGCCCTAGTATTTGTGTTTTGCTTAAAACAAGGAATTCTCTTTTAGCTGGAGTGTCTGGGAGGTGCGTTCTGTTAGATCCAGGCGCACAGAAAGCTCCAGAAAGTCCAAGTTAGATCTAGTGCTCAAGGTCAGTGCCATACTGCCTGAAACTACTTCTTTTTTTTATTTTTTTTTTCCTCCTTTGGTACCATCTTCCGTTAACATGTTTATACCCAGTCAGAAATATGTTTACTGTTAGTGCTGTGTGCTTCTCCAATATCTTTCTTCTATGTAGCTTCTTAGTGTATGATTTTTTATAATTCTCCTTTTACTTGTCTAGAGACTTTGCTATTGCAGAATTACTTCATATGGTTAGTAAGACTTGGTAGCATAATACTAAAAGGAGAAATTGACTTGTATGAATAGTGACATAAGGAATGGAATTACAGAGCAGGTTGTAAAGTTGTACAGAATAAGTTGAAAAATAAGTGTTCAAAAAGACTGCTATTTTCTGAATGTGGTTGTGTGGGCAAGTGGTTAGGAAGAGATCACAGGGTTTTACCCTAATTGTAATACTGTTGGCAAATCTGTGAGTCACCTGCAAAGAAAGTTGTGTGAAATAGTTAAGGATGCTCCAAGGAAACAAGACTGGAAAGATCTGGTGTTGCCTAAGGCAGTATGTTACTGACTGGGGCAGCATGGTAATGTGAGCAGTGTGAGGTAGTGAGGTATAGGGACAGTGAACACGGCACCGTAGCTCTCTAAGCCGAATCCAATATCTTTTAACTTTTCCACAGACGTGATCCCAGTTTCAGACTTTGATCTAAACATTAGGTTGAGAAGCACCACGAGTCTCTGCTGACAGCGAAACGTTAGGCAAGTGCGTCTGTCAGTCTGAAGAGACTTTTTTTCTTTGTGTTTAACAGATAGAAAACAGCCCACACGAATTTGCACTTTATATTATCCATGCATCCGGAGGTAAGCCAGGCAAAGCTGTGTGCTCACTTCCTCGCTGATCATCCTCTGTGCGTGCGTGCGGGCCGCTTAACTTGGGGTGATGGGATTCGTCACAGGCATCTGTCTTCGCTGGGACAGTGTGGGTGCAGCGCGGTGTTCGGGCTTTCCTGGAGACCCCACAGAGGTGTCCTGTAGTGGAGAGGAAGACCTAAGTAATTCCGTGTGCTGCCAGGATGGGTGGTTCAGCTAAACAGGCCTTCATTTGTCCTTTAGATAAAGGCGGTCTTTATTTAAGGTGCTCTTCTGCTCAAACCCTTGTTCTGCACAGCCACGCTGCAGCTGTGGGACACCAGGCTTTGGGTGATAGTCCTGGATCGCAGATGCCTAGTCAGAAGTACTCATTTTTCTGTGGAAAATATTTACTTCTGCAACACAGCTTATTTCTTCAGGAAAAAGGAAATTTTATCTTTATTAAAAGGAATACCTAAAAGAACGGGAGGGAACTGATGGGCATGTTCCTTAAATGTTAAAATACAAATTTGAAATAATGTTTGAAAATTAGTGAGTAGCTTTTGGTTTAGGGTGTCAAGGTCAAGCTGCTAAGCCTGGGATCAGTTTTTTCAATGCTTGCTTGACTACCTAAATTGTAACTCTTTTGTGTTGCATCTACCAGTTCCTTTCAAAACACAGAGTGTAAGGTAGGCACCACATCCTCCTGTGAATAGGTTTAGAGACTTGTTAAGGATCTAATAATTGCACATCAGTCAAATATAAGATATTTATCAAGAAAAAAAGACTACTGATTGCATGAGGTGTCTGGAAGCATTGTTGTATGCTGTGTGCATCATGACATTTCTTGTAAAATCCAGAAAAGAAGCAGCTGAGGAGTGGAGACGTTCCCTTACTGCACAGACTCTTGCAGGGGCCCTCCGAGAAGATTGCCAAGTTTTTTCTCATGGACAGGGATGTGGAAGAGATTAGCAGTGATGTACGTGTATCTTCAATTCTATTAGTTCACAGTATTTTTCCCAAGTAGCATAGTTGCTAATGTGCATTTATTTTCTTAGGTTGCTCAGTATATTCAGTTTCATCTTCCCTTTTTGGAATCGATTCTGCACAGAATAAATGAAGAAGAAGAACAGGAGATTCAACAGACAATTGCAAGGTGAATAGAATTAAAATGAGTGGGGTCACTTGGAGTCCAGGAGAACATTTACAATTACAGGTTGGCTCAAGAGGTGAATGCATTTATGTAGCAGAGTGCAGATAGAATACTGTGCCATCACTAGTTAAATGAAACTTTGTGTGATTTACAATGCTGTCTATATCCTGCACACCCACATGAGCTGTTGCTGTTAAAGATTCCAGAGTAAATACTGACTACACATACATGGGGGCATCTTCCCAGAAAATTCAGATCCTCTGGGTCACTTTTGTTTACTTTGTTAGTTTTCTGAGCCTTAGAGCGGTTCCTCACTTTCTACTTGCAGCTGTGTATTTCCTTGGAAACTACAAACGCAGCACATACTGTGATACTATTGAGGTAGCATAGCATTTAAATTAGATTAGCACCAAATTGTTAATGTCCCTTTAAAACCTCGCTTCTAATAAGTGGCGTGAGTTCTTCCGACAGTAGCTCAAAATGCACTACAAGTACAAGTTAGAAACGCACTGGTATTTCTGAACATAAATATGAGTCCTGAGGTCAGAAGCCTTGAGAGTCTATACCAGCTGTGGAACTGTTATCAAATGAGTGTCTGATAATCACTCTGAATTGAAGTGACCAGAAAATGTAAATAAAAATATAAATATCAATTGTCATTTTCTATCGGAAAAGCTTTCATTACAACGTATTTCAGCCATTCAACTAGCATGTTAGAATTTGGGTTGAGTTTTTGCAGGATTCTGTGTTACTTAAATGCATTCTCTCTCTCTCTCTTCATCGCAGGTACCTGAAAGAGAAGCGTATGATATGCCAGCACCTTCACAGTCGAACTGTTAAAAAAACAGAGACTACTGTTTGATGTGAATGGCCCCACGCACCGCCTCGGCCAGAGGGAAGGCGGGAGGTTTGCTTGCGTGTGCCACAGCTGAAGAGCACTTAAAGCACAGGGGTGTGCACAGTGCTGGAGTTTCTCCTGGTCATTATGCAACCGAAACTGAACCCGCTCCGCTACAACTGGAATGCAGGTTGGGAACCACCTAAGATGCACTAGATCCCCCAAAAGACAGATGCTGAATCTAGCTTGGGACTTAAGACAGGGAAAAAATCCTGTGAGAAGCACAAGGCTTAAAAACTTAGAAATCATTACCAGAAGTCTAGCATATAAGAAAAATATTCCAATAACCAGTGTGTAAATCCTACAGAAAATATGCAAATTAGGTATATGGTTTTCCTTCTAATAGAGAAATGTTGAATTGTATTAGGAGGAAGCTTTTCAGTAGAGATAAGCGGCAAAAGGTATTTATGTATCTAATATTGCAGTTAGGCTTTTCACTTGTCTTAAAAAAAAAAAGGACAAAGCAAAACAAACCACCAGTGCAAGAGAGACCTGAAATCCTACCAGCTTCAGATTGGTGGATGCTTCACTTGCTTAAGCTTTGAGCTACAGTTAGAAAAATATAAATGTAAACCCTCCCACTTAATAGCTTCTCAGGTCTTAAACATGAGGGAATGTATCTCTGAAATGTATCTTTAACAGCAAAGTAAGAACTCTCACTAAATGCTGTGACATCTTCTTGGGTCCTGGAGGCACTTCTGCATTTGTTGTCGTCGTTGAAACAAATGATTCCATGTAACTTCCTGTGGTTTCTGTGTGAAGGCGGAAAAGAGAAGTGTTGGGTGCGAGGGGCTGAGCGCCAGAGCTGAGCTGGGTTGGGTGGGCAGCCTGCTTCCCCAGACACAGCCCCCAGCTCTGGGGGCCTGGCTGGCTGAGCTGTGCTCAACAGTGAAGCTCACGCTGTAGAGATGTCAATAAAATCCAATTTGGCGCACAATTAATTGCCCTCCTGTATTAGTTTGTCTTTTTTACATGGTTTCTGTGTTTTGCCTGGGCTACTTTTGGCCTATGCAGGTAGCAAGGTAAACACTGGGAGAGGGAGGAAATCACGGTGCAGAAAACGTTGCCTAGAAATCATGTGGAATAAATCAGACTTGAAAAACTTCACACTGCCTGAGATGATGATAATTTGAAGGTTAAAAAGTCAGTGTGCTAATTGAAGATATTGTGGTTGGGGCAAGGGATTTATTTGAATGTTATAATCCTGCCCAGGAAAATAATACAATAATTATGGACAAGGGAGCATGGAGGGAAGGAATAAAAATAATTCAGCAGTTAAGTTGTGTGGTATTAAAAACCAGTTGCCCTCCAGGTGGAAGTAGAAGTTCCCTGAAGCAATAGGAGCGCACACACAAGCGTCGCTGCAATTTCCCCGGGGACCCATTCAAATATCTTAGCCAAGTTTTAGGAGTTATAAAACTTGCCCTAGAGCATCACCGGTCACACTTGCAGGGTAAGGTCAAGTGTCAGTGAGGTCTGAAGCAGAGCACGGTCAAGTTCCTGGCCAAACCCAAGCAGAATTTGGCAGTTTCAGGCATGTCATGGACTCGCTGTTCGGTTCCTCTGAAGCCAGGGATGTCTCGAGCACCAGGCTGCCTCCGTTGAAGCACACTGGAGCCCGGGTGGGAGTCGGAGCAGAAGCAGAACTCTTGGTCTGCATGTCAAGCACAATCCTCTGTGTATCTACACAACTCCAAAACTGAGCCATTTTTGCCATCATCAGATGTTAAATACTTGAATCCTTTTTGTTTCACTTGGACTGCTGGATTGAGAGTGAAAGATACTGGAAAATACCCATGGTAGCTAGTGCAGATGATCTAGAGTCTAGGGGCTGGTGAAACAAATCTGAGACTCTGCTGCGGTGTTAGTTCTGCATGAATACTGTGCTTATTGAAATGAACCTTTTCTGACAAATACAGGCAAGAACAGGGGAAGAATTTATTCTAAAGCATTCTAGGATATTCAAGGTAACACAGCAATGAAAAATGGAGGTGACAGGACGTGGGGATTGCTTTTGAACTCAGAGCTGTTAACCATAAAGACAGCAATTGGAGTATAGATCTTACCTGAATTTGTACTACGAAGCTACCCCAGGAGAAAATTCAAAGTCATCACTGGATTTAAAAAAACCCCCAAAGCTGAAAACCCCAACCACCCCCCAAATTCCAAAAGACTGATCTTCATCAGAGAATGACATCTTAAGAAAACAGCGCTACGAGAAGCCCCCATGGCCACCTAATTCCTGGTTTGGTACTGGAAACATGACTGATACCTGGGTTAAACCAGTGAAAATTTGGGGTTTCTGTCCCAGCTCCCTGCCCTTCCCAGACAGTCGCTCCCAGTGCTTTGTTTCCCTCACCGGGCACCCACTGGCTGCTTTTTGTCCCGGGATCAGTTTCTTTGGGTATATGAAGGTTTCTAAGTTCCTGCAGCCTTTCTCGTTAAACCATGCAACCCCAATCCACATCAGCTTTCCTTTTTTGGGTTTTCTGGATCACCAACTGTCACAGTGGTTCAGGGAAACCCTCCCTAGATGCAAGGCACCCCCCCAGCTAGTCCTAATGCTCCAGCAGAGTCCTGGCCAGAGGTGAGGAGAAGGAAACCATGTATGTGTGTTACAGTGTTACATAGCTTGTTCTGCTTATAGCCCTGGTATGCAAGCATGGAGTTAGGCTTTAATTAGCAGCAAAGCATTGGTGACTCTTAATCAGCTTGTGATTTGTCAGAACTGCAGTGTTATCTGCACAGCTCCCTGATGAGTACTGAAATGGTTGCAGCTGCTTAGTCATACTTAAGTGGTATGTTCAATTTGTCCTCATAGAACATAGCGGGTCTTTTCTAGGTTATTTCTCTAATCTACCAAAACGATTTTGACATTTAAAACATTGCAAGAGGATTTGCAACAGTGTCTCCAACTTGCTGTCAGCCACAAACCTAATGATTGGGTTTTCTTCTCATTATTTATATCCTTAATGAAAACCCTGCCTGGCAGTATATACAGGGTAGATTCCAAGGGGACTCAGCTTGGGTGACCTCTTCAATCTGATTGTGAAACCTTCTCACTTGAAGCTGGGTTTGCATTTTGTGAGATGTTCGTTTGGGCAATGTTTCTTTATCTTAGTGATATTTTGAAATCCTCCCAGGATAACTACTGCTAGGTACATCCACCAAAATAATCTGATACCCGCGTATCTCTTCCTTTGAGCCAAAGGTTTCCAGAATTTTTTTTTCTCTCTTTTAGTACTATTTTTTGACATATGATTTTTAACATGCCTTCTAATTTCTTTTAACGTAAAAAGAAAGTAAAAACCCTAAAGCTGTTGGAGTGTAAATTTGGCTGCCTCCCAGAGCTTTCTCTAAACATTCATCTGCTGACCAGGGGTTTCAGCAGTCCGTGTTCTGTCCTTTCCATGACACTTTGGTCATTTTTCTTCTTTTTCACCCTGTTTGGGATGCCCAAGATCATCTGTTTCTGTGCTTAACTGCAACTTCACAACTCCCCTATAGCAGCCCATATTAGCGAGTGAATGTGTTGTATTTCAAGGACATATATATATATATCTATGTGTAAATAATTATTTGGTGATTGAAAAATAATTTAGAAGTGGTTACAGGCATATTTTCTTAATTTGATCTCATTTGCATTTATGCTTCATAAGCTTAAGATTTAAAACACCTTTTTTTTTTTTTTCTTATCTGTGATGATTTGGTATAAGGAAAATAATATTCCATAACATAAGATGGTGGCCACATCTAGACCGTGTATTTCCATCCATTTAACTCATTCTGTTGCTGGATTTCCTTAAGGTGATACACCCTCTCTCTGGACTTAAAACTGTCTTTAAGTTACTTGGTTTGGTTTAAAGTTTACGTAACCTTGACCATTTTGAATCCAAGTGATAGGAGCCAGATATGAAGTTTGCATGCAGTTTTCTCCCCCATCTGAATAAAATTGGTACACATGTTTAATTGTCAGGTAAGCTGGGTGCAAACCAGGTGAGCAGACCAGGTATAGTTCCACAGCTCAGCAGATTCTATGCGGGAATTTGTTGTTTTATTTTGAGGCACCTCTGGGACCTTGTTCACAGTGGCAGATGGGACAGCGGCATAACCGTAGCTGGCATGACATCGTCAGATTTGTGAGTAAAGAGCCACCACAGTTTCCTCCACTATGACAAATCACGTGTTCCTGGTTATACTTCACAAACATTTAGGAAAGATATGCTCACAGTTAAGTTGGTGTGACTTGCTATCATTCAGCAACTATATTCCATTATGCTATGCAAGCTCTTCATGTTGACAACATTTTTTCACTTCTTCTGATAAGTTCTGGACCCTGAAAAAAAGCAAAGGATCTGTGAGCAATAGAGACAGGGAGATGATGTACTTGTGAACGAGTTAAATGAGTGTGGCAGTAGTAACTAATGTTTTACAATCTTTACAAGTTGTGTACAAACGCTGTATGTGCAGAGTCCATATACAAATATCACTGTGTTTAATATATGTTTTGCTTCTACTGTTCAGCTCAGATTACTTTAGCAGATTAAGTATTTGTCAGAAAAATACTGAAATACAATTCTATTAGGAAGAGTAAGTAGAATGTTTCTTTGCAGAAAAGCTATTTGGATGTACTCAGAGGTAGAAATTTCTGATTAATAAGAGAAAGAATCTTCGGTATTTTATCATTTAAAGTAAAGCAAGGCAAAGACTTAGGAAAAGAGAGGGCGAGGCTCAAGGGTCATGGGTGGTTGGTTAAAGTTCAGTTAAGGGCGATACCAAAGAGCGAGAGATGAGAGGTGGGTGGAAGCAGATTTCCTGGAGGGTGAAGAGAAACCAAAACAGCTTCACAGTATGAAGTTTGGTGAGCAAAAATGCCATAGGGAAAGACAAGAGGAAAACAGAGGTAGGGAGAAGAAACAGGGAAAATGCTTTGACTTAAAATGTGAATATATCCTTTCTCTCCCTATTGCAGAGGAACTTTTCAAGAACAATTCAGGTAAGAGCTGTTAGCCAGGGAAGGACCTTCACCCACATCCTTCAACAGTGCAAGTCCCAGCGACTCCCCAGGAGCAACAGAGGTAGCTGAGCTCTGTATCTAGAAATTGCTGCACAGAAACACAAGACTAATTCAATCAGTTCTCCAGAGATTATTCAACAAGTACACATAGCTACTTGTGCAGGCCATTAAGTTTGTCTTTGGAAATGTAACTGCAAGAATTCTGTCTAGCCAGGCTTTGGCTTTGCTGCTTAATGGAGAAATTTACACTCCACGTTTCTGTTCCGATTCAGAAGGTATGGGTGAGAACACAGACCATACCTCTTTCACAAAACAGGCCTCATGGTCTTCTCCTTTGCAGCATTGTTCCCTCATGGCAGTAAAGGCGGCTGTGACAGAGGCCAGCTGCTCCTGCGTGATCTGGGGCTTGTATTTGATGAGGTTGATGAGCATCCTGCAAGGAAAGCAAAGCATGCTCTGTGAAGCTGGGAGGCAAGCACACGGCGTGTGGAGCACTGCTCAAATGCTGGTCCTGCAAAGTCACCCTTTTGTTACCGCCCACTTTCTCTCTGCAGCTTTTTGTTTTTTATTCACCACCCAGATGGGTATTTGCAGCAGGGAGCAAAGATGTGCCCCGTTGCCCTGGGAAATAATATATCAGTGCTCATTCTTGGAGTTTCTCCACCATCAATATCCATGAGTAAACCATGCAGATGGGTTTGTGTGTGAGGTCCGGGGCAGGATGGGTTCACCACGGCACAAGTTAATGGCCAAAGAGGTTTTCTTTTCTTGTAGTGACTTGGGGGTGGGGAGTGTGCAGCATGAAAGTGTTCTCCGACCAAGGCAACCAAACACCAGAGATTTTCAGAGACTGTTGGAGTGCGTGGGGTGAGGGAAAACATATGGGCTTTCCCGTTTTGGGAAACAAGTCCCAGTTAAGCCATAAAGGTCACGCGGTACTTGAGGCAGTAGCTTTCTTGCTCTTCCTGCTTTTTTTTTCCACAGCGCCTTGCGCAGTTCCCATAAAGGACGGTGGGAGGGCATGGCTACCCCACCTAACCTGGGAGACCTCTTGCTTCTGATCTGGTGGGGTGGATACCAGTGCAGCTACCCACCTCTGAAAACGACTCTCTTCTAATCTCAGGCAAGTAAATGTAGGTGGAACCAGACAGCAGGAGAAACTGGGACTGGCTTGAGAAGGAAGAAAATGATCTTGGAAAAGGGGTTGAGGGGTGTGTGGCTGTTTTCCCAAAGGCGTGTTTCAGAACAAGGAGTCCAGGCAGAGTGGACAAGGGGTGGGCGAGCACTGCTGGGATAACAGAGAGAAACACGGGGGTAACAGAGTAAACCAGGCTTGTCTTACTCCTGCTTCTTGTGCTGTAACTTCTCCTCTTCAGTCGTACACAGATCTTCATGGAAACTGAAGAGACCAGGAGTCAGTGACAAGGGCACGTAGTTCTCATCAGTTTCTAGTTTCCCCATGCATGGCCTCCTGAAAGCATAGGAGCTACTGCAGCACTGGCAAACTCCGGCGTTTATAGGGTCTGTCAGGTGTCTTCTGCATATTTCTCCAAGCACGAGATCCAGCTTTACCAAGAGAAGTGGAAAAAGAAACGATTTAACATTACTTTTTTCATTTTCAAAAATCCCTGAAACACATGTTGCTCTTAGTAATGCTATAAAAAATGACTGAGAATTTAAATTAACCCATGTTTATAAGATAGATAACAGTTTATATTTCTACTGAATGCTGACTTTTGTCATTGCAAAAATGGGTCAGGTTTTTCTGAATAAATATGTATGTGTTGTTTTTGGGACTGTGCTTTGCCCATGAAAATGATGTGATTTCTTCATACAACCATGCTGCATTCAATTTATTTCCCTCAGCAGGGTTCCCGTAGGTATGTCCTGCTGTTCTTGTAAACGTGGTGTTGCACAAACAGCTGCCTGGAGGACAGGCTGAAGCTTTTTACCTACTTTGGCTTACAGGCCTGGAGGATTCTTTCAGAAGAGCTATACAAAATTGATCCTTTGCACAAAGCACGGCAGCTGCAGGCATCTAAGAATGATGGACTCGGAGAAGAGATCATTAGCTTCAGCGGGAACGGGGTTGGACTGCCTGCACTGTGGAACAGCTAACTGCCTAGCACTGGCCCAACAATTTCCTGATCCTCCTGTAGTTTAATTCAAGCACTAACTTCAACAGCGTTGGGTTATGCTTACTCCAGGTGTGGAAGTTCATCTTCAGGCCAGCTCAATAGCTCAGTGAACATTTTTCTCATTTACTTTTAGTCCAAGCTCTTGGACCCCGCTGGCAGCAGCATTTGTGTCAGAGTTTCAAGAAAAAGTAGGACCCAGATACAGAAGAAAAATACTCACATTTCCCTCAGCACAGGGCAGTAGTTTGTCCTGGCTCAGCTGGCAGCACCTGGAGCCAATTGTAGTCATTTGCTTGGTGAATTTGATCAGCTCTGCAGATGTCAGCTGAGGCATCTTCTTGGTGAAGCTCATGAGAAGCCTGAAATGATAATTTCTTTGATAATGGTGTTTTTGTTTCACCAGGCAGCAGTGAGCAAGCCCCTGCCTCCACGTGTGTAAAGCTCCAGCCAAACCCCACAGAACACTCGTGAGTACAAGGGCAGGGCTAAGCCAGCGTTTATAAACTCAGGTAGGCAAGTGTATGTGTGTGCTGTTTTTTTGAGCTCTCTCCTTTTTCTGACCAGTCTCTTACCAGATTAAAGAAATAAAATGTGATAGCATTGTTGGTTATATGTTGGCAGGCCCTCTTACCAGATGGTACATGCTTTTCCATGTTATTAATTTCCCTGGGAGTTCAGGGAGCTTGTCTAAGCAAAACTGAACTCAAGTGACTTCTTGGCAGACTAGATGAGGGCACAAGATAATCTCAAAAATATTCACTTGTTTTTTCTTTTGAAAAAAACGTGCTTATTAACCATCACAGCCAGGAAAACCTTAACAAGTGCTACAAAAGACAGAAGGAGCCCACCAGGTTTGTTGGAAACCTCTAGTTCCAAAAGTCTTTTAAAGCTCCAACGTGCACGGGATCACCTAAAGCCCAATGTATCTCCCATGAGGAGGCTTGCAGAAGCCTAACTTGTACACGAGCAGTTGAGAGGTTTCACTGAGATGTCTTACATACCTTAAGTTAGGCATGTGCTCATTAACATTGCAAATCTGGGCCGGAGTTCCTCCAGGAGGCTTGTGCCTGCATGTTGCATTTAAGCGTAGTATATGGTTCAGCTGGTCAGGTTTTGCTCTGCCTACTGTAGTTAGATTTTTGTTACAATTGTTAATGTTTACATCTACTGCAGGAGCTGGATAGAGCAAAGTCTTTCCCAAAAGACACAGCAAGTGTCTTTTGGCCAAATTTATGACTCTGAAGTTACAGCTCACAGCTCAAAAAGAAGCTATAAAGCAAGAACATCCTAGGAAATGTGGACTGGAGATTGATCAAGGTGTCAGTTCACTGCTTCATGAGTTGGGTTAAGAACTCGTGAGAAGCCAGAACATTGTCTTGGAAAAGAAGAAAAAAACCCTCTAGAAGCCCTTGATATGTTGGTCCAAAGATTCAAGTGGTGTCTTTTAGCCTAGCTTTTCTGACATCCATGGCTGTACTCCAGCCTGAGTTGTGCCCAGCTGCTACAGGAGTAAAGTAAGCATATAAAAAAGTAGTACTCGTTTTGGAAATAGTAATCTCCTTTCTCCTTGTAGATGTCACAGCTTGTCTTCATGACGGTTTCAGTTTCATAAATATGTTTCTTCAGTTCTTCCTCCTGGAAAAAAATAAGCTAGTTTGAGGAGTCACTGTATCAGAGGGAATGCCGAATGCCCTACTGCCTCATGCTAAGGCCTGGACATCTCTAGCTACCTCTCACCTGATATACACCACCCATTTATAATCCCATTAGCAAATCTTCATCTGTCTGAAACCTCTATAAACTTCCTGAATGTGATAAATGTCCACCTTCAATCACCTTGAAATATTTAGTTTTGTATCACTGCTGGAAGGCTGGGTCTGAGACACAGAGTGGCTCCCAACTTCAGATATTTGCAACGCCAGCGTCTTCATCTGGGACGATAACCATAAGTACCATTTACATGTGCAAGAGGGCAGCTGGCCCTGCGAGGGAGCCCGGAAGAGAGCAGTGCTCACAGAACTGCTAGCTCCAGTGCTCTCCCCAGCATCTCTGGCTATCCACGTTAAATTGATTCCCAATTAAAGATTGCGAGAGCTCTGTTGGTGCCGTTTCCCCATACGGGAATCAGTTGGGCCTTGTATTATTTGCTGGGGTTGTTACAGGAGCTGTGGGTACTCGCTCTAGACCCGGAGCAGGGCTATTCACTAGTTAGCTGAAACCAGTCACGTGCTTGAAACAATCGGAACGCTGTGTGAAGCCCAAAGGCACCCACCCCTCTGCTGCAGCAGTCGTCCGGAGCGCCGGTTTTGCAGCACTCTTTCAGTAGGTCCTCGTATCCTTTACCAATTCTTAAAAGCATTTGGACAGAAAATTCAGGGTGTCTCCTGGAATACTCATAGAGAAACCTGCAACATGTGGGGTACCAGGAATTAGAGATAAGCCGAAACAACCGCCCTCGTGAGTGTGGTAAGCGGAGCAGGGGTGTTTTTGGGATGCTTTTGTCTGACAGGTGGAACAGGGAGAAGGTCACAGCCTGTTGGCCTGGGGCTGATCCTGAACCGAACGTGCCTGACTGAGTGCAGCATTGCCTGAGCAGGTTCTGTGCATGTAACAGTCCCAGCTCGGTGTCAGCTTGGGTTGAGCATAGCTTAGAGCTTTGTGGGGTTTAGGGTTTTGTTCTTTTTAAAATCCTGTCTAAAAGATAATGAAATAATTTCCAGTAAGAAACCTATTTCTCAGTAGATGCCGAAAAGATCAGCTCTGCTGAAGCAGTCACCCTACAGAGCAGTCGTGTCCAGTCAATTAGCTGCACTGTTCAGAAATGGAATTGATGTACGTTATTTGAAGCAAAGTCTCTGTCCTGGGGGCTTGACGCTGTTTCTGTTGCAGCCTGTGGCATTCTGGCCCAAGCTGACTACAAGTAGGATCAGGGCTTCATTGCACAAAGGAACACGGACAGAACAGAAATGGACTGATCCTGTTTGAATCAAGACATGAGTGTCTGACTTAAACAACTGTTCTTGAATTCCCACTTAAGAGCAGATCAAAGCTATCTCTTGGGCCTGAGACCAGAACTGATAGTACCTAAATTTCAGATGCATCTCCTCAGCTGTGTCTCTGACATAAACACTGTGCCTTGTTCTGCATTTGTTCCCAATGCCACACCTTCCAGGGTTGACTGGTGTTTTACTAAGATCAACTTGCACAGTGTCTCCTGCCTACGTGCTCACAGAGCAGACAAATCGGAGGCTCGTGAGCTGGGCTTTAATGTCCAAACTGTCAACTTTTGTCCCAAGTATTGAAACAGCAAAATTGAAAAGTAGAGGAAGATGCATGTTACCTGGCTAAGTGTTTATCTTTTTCCTGGGCAAAACGTTCACATATTCCTTTGTCTTCTATAAACTCTCTGATGTGGGGGGACAAGTGTGCAGGTTTGTCATCATTTTCTGCATTAACTATGCATTCACTTCTTTGTAACAGAGGCTTTTCACAGCATTTCTTAATTTTACTTGATAGGATGTCTTGGTTGGTACAGACATAGTGTAGAATCTCCTCCTGTAAAGCAAAAAAGGGAAAGGAGGGTGTTTTAACAGATGTTGGGGTTTTTGTTTGTTTGTTTGGGTTTTTTTCATTTTTGGGGGGTTGGTGGGTTTTTTTTTGATCAGTGTTTTTATCTCTGTTTTCCAGACACAGAAGATGATTCCCAAAGAGAAGAGGTGGCTGGCTGAAGCTGTGCAACAGACACCTGGCAGAACAAGGAAGAAGACTTGGTCTACTCGCTGCAGTCCCTTGCTTGCCATTTGATAGGTGCTACTAGATAACCACCTCAGCCAAGACGTTTGCTGTCCAGCTAGACACCCCAGGCAAGAGGTGGGATAAATGGAATTGGGTGTGTTAGAAGAAGGCAGAGAACAGAGGATGGGCAGAGACTGTGTTCTGCCAAAAGTTGCACAGAAAATACGTGGCACAGCTGTAACTGCAGCTGCAACCAAACCTGCTGAAGCAGTGTTAGGCCATTCTAGTCATAATGTGATCTTTCTGCCCTTCCTGAAGAGTTCACACCAGGAAAAGTCAAATGGGAAAATCAACCAGGTTTTTAGACTGAAGAATTAAACTCCAGTTTTGGAAAGCAATCGGTACAGCAGGGGAAGAAAAAGAAATCTGGAAACTACAAAAACCCCACATTCAATTTCTTCAAATGTATAAATATTAAATGAGTTTTACCCTATCATGCATACAGTTCAGCATATCTCCACGACAGCAGTCCTTGTGCATGTTAGCAATATCCATCACAAGTTTGTTAACAGTAACAAAATCAGCTTTAGGGAATTTTTGACTTATCTGAGCAAGTTTCCTACAATGAAGAAAAAGAGTTATTGTTTATCTTCACAGTGGGAAAATGAGATAGCTATCGTTATTTTTCTGTGGTGAGGGTACCCAGACTGCTCAGGAACAGTCCCTCCCTGCTCCTGCTGAAGTTAACAAATAAATGTCCCTTGAAGCTGATAGCTGAGATCATCAGAGTTATCTAAGGATCCTCAGTGAATTTCAGTGGGAGATGGTAGAAAGAAATGTGGTAGGTGAGCATGAAATTACAGGAGCAACCTTGGGTCAAAAGTGGTTGGGAGAGGTGAGTTGTATCTTGCTTATAATCACTCTTAACTTTCTTCACAGAGAGACATGTTTGTTTCAAACTTTGGGTTTAGATTTTGAAAGATAGTGGCAGTTTGTAAAGAAATGGTGACTGGTACCGTGCATAAAGCTACATTCCTAGTCTCTCTTCCCTGTTAGAAGTTCCTAGGGACCTGCACACAAGCAGAACGTGGATGGTAGTTGGGGGTCACTCTGCTGTGTGCAGATGTGGAGCCACCTGCAGCTAACATGCAACATCCATGCTTCGTTTCAAAATAATGTTAAACCTGGGGAACTCACAGAGCCTTTAAGGTCCTTTCTCCAAACTTCTTCAAGATTTCACATGTGTGTTCCTGCCTCAGGCCATCTTCTTTTACTGGCTTTACCACCTTTGGTGCCTGGTAGAAAGAAGATGCAGACCGTGAAAGAGAAAGAAAGGACAATGCTTTATACTAAAATGACTGTGGCAACAGTTTTTTAAACACGGATTTTGTAATAGTGAGAGAAAAATGCTGTCCAAGCTGCAATATGAACTAACTGTGGCGCTTGCTATTTAGTCACTAGCATTTATTAAGTAACTGTCCTGTGAAAAGAAACCAGAACCCCTTCAGGCGATAGTTCAGTGTTTTTAGCACAGGGGAAAACATGATCATTGGTGAGCAATGTGACTGGCCCTGCATTGCTGTGAGCTAATGATCAACTGTGCCATTGCCTGCAGACCAGCCAAGCTGCCTGAAAGGTATGTTCACCTGTTCAGCAAGGGCATATTCCTTACCCTAGTTTTCCACTGTTAAAGGTAGTTTGCCCTGAACTTCTGACACTGGTTACATGTGGGGCATGTCTCTGCAGTGCAGGCACTTGGCTGAGCAGGAGTTGTGTCGTGGGGGCTACCAACAGGAAAAAAAAATTCAGACTTCTGCACTATGTGTAGCATCACGTCCTCTCTCAGCATCCTTACAACGAAGCTGGTGCAGGTAGCAGAGTCGGGGTGGGCAGTGATGCTATTGCAGGGCGTGGGGGCTGCCTGGGGCTCCCTGTAAAGCTACATCTGCCCAGCACCCTGCAGCTGGGCATTTGCATTTAGGAGTTCAAGCTGTAATTCAGGAGAGCCTTTAAGAGTGATTTCAGCCTGTCCTTGACAAGGTGAATTCTAATATGAGATTTAGATGCTGCAAAAGAAATGGCTGATATCTCTGCTTCAGTATTTGCTTAGCTAGAGGAAAGTCCCTGGTTGCATGTTAATGAACTAAAACCCTATGATGGAATACCTGTCTCCGAAAGCATTCCTCCAGGTTGTGAGTGGGGTCTTCGGCACTTCCGCAGCAGTTCCTCATCATCTCATCATACCGGATAGAGATAGAAAGGATTGTTGGGGCATAGAGGAACGGGTGCCTTCTGGAAACCTCGTAGATAAAACTAGAACAGAGAGGAAAATGTCTTTAGTTTCAGATTAAGCTCCTACATGCAGGGGGCAGCAGTGTTAGTGCAGCATCTGCTGTATATTAAATGACCATTACTAAAAGTGATTGTTTTCTTGTCATCACGACAAGCTGTATAGGGTGGTGTTTATCTTGAAAAATTCTGATGGGGCTGACATGTTCCTGGAAGTTGAAGCCTCAAATCCTGCCAGTTCTGTCTTAGAGGCAGCAGAACTTCTGCTTGGCTTTTAAGGATGAAAGAGAGGCCCTTGGTTTCAGAGGAGCCTTTTCCATAGACTACAATAACATAGGCCAGCTGGTTTGTCATCTGGACCTATAGCCAAAGCAGGAGGTGGCACAACAGGCTTCAGGTAATGACAATTACGGCTTGATGGATTACGCAAATAATTGATGTTAGGAAGAGAAATGACTACGAGATGACAGAGAATCTTAGACTGAACTTTTTGGTTGACACTGCATTTGCTGTCTCCAGGCTCGTAACTCTCATATCTAGGCAACGAATCTGTGATTTATTTACTTACTATCCTCTTAATGGATGTTGATGCTGTGAGTGATTTTTGCAGGCAGCTTCAGCATTGAGCTTTTCAAAAGGAGAAATGAACCCTCTTGATGAATTTTTAAGGGAGAGGAAGCAGTGATTTCTTTCAGGATCCTTTTTAACACAGCAGTCAGTAAACCTGGGAAGATTTTCCTCCTGGCATATTGTATCAAGGAAAATCCTGTCCTGTGAAAAATTAGAAAAAAGTTAATTTGTGTGGGGATTCCATTTTACTCCTCTGAGCTCTCTGAGGAGGCTACTTTAAGCCAACAAGCCCCAACTTGTATAAACTCACAGTTTCTCTCTTTATTACCTCCTCCTTTGACTGCAGTGAAAATCGGACTGATTTCTAAAACCTGCACATGATGATCTCTCAAACTCTGACATCTACTGTTATGCCAAAACAGACTTCAAAGTGGAATGGCTTTCAAACACTCTGAATTTATAACATAACAGACCCATTTTTCTTAATAACAATCGCAACGATTGCCCGATTTGTACGCTGCAGTTTTCAGCATAGCAGGAGCTGTGTTTTATAATTACAGTCAGGTTCGTACAATGAGAAGCGTCTTGTTTGATCAAGTAGCAGTGCTCAGGTCCAGCTGTCCATCACGCCTCAGCTGGGAACTCTTTTAATTCAGTGTTTGTTTCTGTGTGTCTAACAAATCAGAAATGAGCCGTAACACAGACTGATGTTCATGTTGCATGGTTCAATCTGCCTGCACCAAAAGTACGTCAGAGCAGACACCACCAAAAACCAGGGCTGTGAGTTAATGGAGTGGAGCAAATGCCTCTAAATACTGCGTTTGCTAGAAATACCTAATTTGGTTTCTCCTGAGATTTATTACATCAGCCATAAAAGCACAACTTTCTGAATGCCTTTTAGAAAGATGCTGTGATATTCAGGGTGGGTGGGGGAGGAGGAGGAGAGGGGCTTTATTTTCCTCCACTTATCTTGAGATGCCTTGTAGATGGGAGGCTGGAGAACAAAAGTCAGTAAGGCTAAGCATGCCTACACAAGGAAGTCGTGTCTCTTAATAAATGTGTTCAAGTCTCTGGAAAAACACATACCAGGGCTGTGAAATATGACTGAAAATTTTGACTTCTGAAAATGTTTGCTCCGTTAGAAGCATAAATGTGCTTACCAATGGCTTCAGACAATCCGGGTTGTCTCTGGCTGCAGCAGCACACCTTTTGGCAAGGTCTGTGACATCTTCAGCCATTTTAACTGCTTTGCCAAACGTGCCTCCTTGCACGTACTGAGCAAACATGATCATGGCACTAGAGAAGAACACACAGCGTTAAACCTGTGTCCGGCTACCTAAAAACTAATTATCTAGCTTTTACATGTGGGACAGAAAGAGGATCCTTATCACCCCGGGCTGAGTTGGCACGGGCAGGCAGGATGGGTGACTGTTTGCCCCACGAGACATGTTCTTTTCGAAATGACACAAGGAGGTTCAGTGGCAGCAAATTTGCGAGTAGATGCTTTACCTGGACAACTTACATGGCTTTAAAATTATTCTCCTGCAGCTGAGAAAAACGTTGGCCAATGCTGTTCTTCTCCTCTGAAAAACAAGATAATTTGAATAAAAAAATGTTTACTAACTGCTTCATCAAATACCTTTTGGGTTTTTTTGGTACCGGAGCCTTGGAGAAAGATAATTCAGTGCCTGGGGTACTAGTACTGGAAGTAGGAAGACGTAAGATTGAATTTACTATTTGGCTTAAGCATGAGGATGTGAAACTATTTGTTTCTGACCTACAATATAACAGGGCTAGTATAGTTTCCCTGGCTAGCTCAAGTGTTGTGGGGAGGAACATGCTAAAACCTGGAGGGCGTTCAGCTACTTTGATGATGCACTTCATAGATTAAATAAGCACCTTACCCAACAGTTTAACCTTGCCTTAGCTATTTAAAAGTGGGTTTGACCACTTTTTAGCTACAGATGAAGGATTTTCTATGCAGAAAATATGGGAGAAATTGAAGACTACAGTGGTAGGCATAGCTCCTCAAAAATTCAGAGCTGCATCCTTCATGTTGTGAACTGGCCCAGAGGAAGACAAATGTGTCCAATCTATGTGAAGCTCCCATGCAAATATTTTTCCTCTGCCTTTATTAATGGGCAAGCCTAAATGCAATCATTTCTTGAGTTCCTTGTTTGTCACACAGTATTCTGAGAGATTAACTTTAAAATAAGGGACCTGTTCCCAAACCAAGATGTTACTGTCTCACCCTCATGTCGGTAGAGCTGAGATCAGTGCAACGGGATCAAAGAAATCAGCGATAAACCAGAGTCTCCCTCTGAGTACCGGGGGGGATGTCAACTGAGACAATAACATGAGATAAATAACAGAAACGTCGGTTCTGTTTTGCACTGTTGGGTTACTTAGTGCATTTGGAAGTCTTAAAGAGGAAAAAAAATGTTGACTAATGATAACAATATGCGATGTGAAAGATATAGCCGAACCACACACTATCAGAGGTATTCAGTTTTCTCATTTTAGGCACTTAAACTTAATGAGAAGTGCGGTCGTTGTAGACTCCTCCAGTAGTTGGTGAAGAGAGAATAAGACCCCTCCAAAGGATTATACAGAGCAATAGTGTAACTTAGCTACTCTGAGTAGCCACCTGGAGGTAGCATCCCCCTTGGGAATTCTCCGTCTCTCTTCCTTGAGAGCTATGGAGAGAGGCTGGAATAACCACAGGCTGTACTTCAGCAGGTTTTGGAGTTCCTAAAATCAGTGGCACAACCACATCCCTGTGGATTAAGTCACCCTTTGATACACTTCCTCTCAGCAACCTCTGGCCGTCCTGTGCTCTACAAAGATTCTCAAGCTGTAAAGCAGCAACACAGCTAAGGCTGATCACAAAAAAATTATACAGATATAGCTTTGTTGTATACCTTTGACCCATAAGAAAATACCCAGTGGCAAAGTGAGCTACCAAATAAACATGCATGCAAAGTTGCAGCCATCAGTATTATACAAAAGAATAGAGTAAAAATATGAGATATATCCTTACCTATGTCCCAATAACTTCTAGGCATGGCTTTGACTACAGTAAGGCTCACAAATAAAATAACATAAATTATTGTTCTCCAATTCATATTGTCAGGTTTTGGCAGGGTCCTGGGGTGAGCTTGGTTCATCTGTGAAAGGCAGAAAGAATTAAGGGGAAAGACTTACTTTTATACTCCCCTAGACGATTTCTGGTTAATCAAAACCCTTTTACTGTCATATATAACATTAGCACTTTGGGAATATTCCCACAATAATTAGACATGTCATTATTTGCTCAGTATGATGAACTGACCAGTTTCTTGCAAAGAAAGGACCTTGGAGATTCTTTTTCTTTTTTTCCTGAAATTTATACAAGTAGACATTTTTAACTTATCACACTTCAAACAAGAAGTTTAAACACTCCCTGGGCTTTTATCGCGCATACTGATCTCATCTACTTACAAATTTGTTCAAAGGTGATTGCTGTGCAGAAGATGCCTTCGTAACACATTGTTGACTGAAAAATCCCAAGTTCAGCTGTTAAACTGATGTTTTTGCATCCCTCCTTGCTATAAAATCTCTCTCTTCCTCCCAGCTCCCAGGGTGTCATAGTGAAAAGGCTGAATTAAGTACCTCCTACAATATTTTTTCAGTATTAACAATTGCCATCAAAACGTCTCCAAATCTTGAAACAAAATCAACTCCGAAACTGTAGAATGAAGGGAAAAATCCCAGTTAATACAGTTAGTTTACTGACTTTTAAAAAAGTATGCTGTGTCAGCATGATAAAAATGACAAATTTTTAGAGACAGAATGGCTTTAGGGAGCCACAGGTATTTATAACAAAGAGATAGGTGGGTTAGGATATGTGTATTCAGTCTGAAGGAAGAGGCAAAGGCAGAGCTTTTTATTTCTTTAGAGAGAAAATGGCAATACTCTTTGCTCCATGTTGCAGGAAGACGATGAGGGTTGCTCAGTGTCACATGAGATGGTATCAAAATGAAAAAGGAAGTGGGAAGGTGGGAGCACGAAAATGAAGTAGGAGATGGGAGCACGGTCATCAGAGCAGGAGATCTCAAATCTGAAGTGAAACCACATCTGTTGAGGAAGCTCTGTCACACTGTTAACTAAAAAGCCCCATAGGAAATAGAGAAATGTACTTGGAAGAAGGAGATCTGGAGGTTAGGGACCTTATTTCTACACTGGATCCTCGTTAAGTCGTAGGGCAGATGGTAGAACACTTTGCTCCTGGCACTGTTCCCAAACAGCCTTAGGCTGTCGCTCCTGCCTCCAGCCCCCGGCAGCACCCTGTGTTGGGGCTGCCAGAGCAGGGTCCCCGCGGGGACAACCTGGGGAGCACCCAGGTGTTCCTCCTTCCCTTTCCCCAGAAGTAGCAGGGAGAGATGCAGATGGATCCTCTCATTTTCAGACTAACACCTTATTGCAACCTTTTTAAGCTATAAAACTAAAGGAGGTGGGGGTGTATTACTTGAGCTGGAGCTTCAGAAAGAGCTGGGACACTGATGTCAGAGACTTTGGCACGTTCCTCCTTGGCCCAGAAGAATGCTTTTTCGGAGATTAAGCACGTGTAATGTGTTGTCCTAAGTATTTCTGGAAGCTGCACTTGGTGTTGCATTTAAAATCCTTTAAACTCAGTTTCCCCACTGACCTTTTCCATGCTCAGCAAGATGATTAACTACTTTTCACTTGTCTTTGAAAATACTTACCACTATTCTGATAGCAATCTGACTGTTTACAGTAAACACACTGCCATTTTCAGGAGGGAAAAGGAAGAGTGTGGTAAACACTAGAAATGAGATCCAATTAAGCTTAGGTCCTCCTTAAGAGTTCCTGTTGGTTGGCCTTCGAAGTACGGAAACCAAGTTGACCTATTCAGTTTCACGTCTACTGAGGACCCAGCTGTCTCCAGAACTTCTTAGAAACTGGTTTCCAAGGTCAGGATAGAGCTAACAGCAGCTGATGGCCCTCAGGGTGTGGAGCTGTGAGTTCCCATCAGGTGGGGACAGGGGGGTCGGGGATGCTCTGTACACTCTTGAAATGCCTGGGCAGTTACTCTTGGAGCTTTATTGCTCTACGTGTTACACAGCAGAGAGATGAGTTATTTTTTACTGAGTATTTTTGGTTATATTCACTAATTTTAAGCTCTCTGTGTTTTAAGCTTGTGTATGCTCTTGGTAGACTTCAGTCAGTGATTATCATTCTCAAATTAGGCTGAGAAAGTAGAAATGTGTACCCAGAGCTCAGTTACTTTGTTCCTCTTATTACTAACGACAGCAGAATTGGTGAATTCACCTTTTGCTTGGGTTGGTTTCTTTATTATTCTATCTATACTGCACAACTTTTTCTTGAAATTTAACAATGGTGTTTTCTGGTAATGTAAATAGTACATGTATAGGATTTAATTGTATCCTGTCTCTATACTTAGAGAATATCATTCTTGTAATATCCTGAGCACTCACTCTAAAAAGAGCAGTGTTTATAGGAAGTTCATATATCTGGAAGAACTGAGATTCTACCTGAGTGATAAGAAGATTTGTCTTTGAAAAAACCTGAGTTTCTCTGATGTGATATTTGGCATTATTTTCCCTGTAAGTAACTTCAAGTACTGGGATGTGCTGTGTAAGAGGCATGCTGGACCTCTACAAACTGTTTTATAAAGAAAACATCTTTTGTGTTGGTGTTTTTAGATGGAAGTATCGTAAAAGGAAGGTGGCTAGACTTAATCTGATTATGTGTTTTTGAATATGTTTTGTTTTGGTATTGGGGTCTCTTGCCTGGAGAAGATACAATACAGCAACAGTTACAAAACCTGGGTTGATGATTTCTTCCCCTTCACCTTCCCAGCATTTCTCTCTGCTGCAGACCAAAATCACCACAGGCTTTATGAGCCCCTTAATTCTGGGGAGCCTATTGCAGGTACCTTACCTCCGCACGGTCTGGTGTGTGGCTGTCCCTGGGTCACTGGGACATCAGCTCTGATACGTCCCATCTGGTGTGCAGAGCCATTTGGTGGGGGCAAGGACGAGCATCCAGCACCTTCCCCCTTGCCCCAGAGCAGCATCTCTGTGGGTTGTCTTGACATCTACCTCTGTGTGTCAGGCCCTGCTCTTCTGTGACCCTGAGAAACCAACATAACTGGCTGAGGGGCTGGTTTAAACTTACAGAAATGATCAAATCCTGTTCCTGGGAAACATATACTAATTCTGAAGAGCGACAGGCCTAGCTTGTCACTAGCTTGTGTAAACTGGTTCTGCCGAAGGCAATGTAATTATCCCAATTTACATTAGCTGAGAATCTAGACTAAATTTTTCAGTGTTGCTGCTTTTTTTTTTTTGCTGGTCAGCTGACGCATAGGCTGGCCAGAGGAGAGCTGGAAATAGCAGGGAGAGGTAGCATTCTTTTAGTAACTGCAAATATATTAGCATGCAAAGGGCAAACTTTTTATAACTTACCATGTTTTTGGAAAAGCAGACTTTGCTGGTAACCGAGACACCATTTGTAGTATTGCAAGCACGAGGAGATGGGTGGAGCCCTAGGAAGTTTCTTGGATAAATAAAAACAAAAACCTGGAAAAGCAAGAAAGGGAGAGGTGGGGGGAAAGAAAAAGAAGTTGGAAACTTGATAAGGAGGGAAGTTGCAAGTTATTAAAGTTTCTGTAACTTCCGTGGCTCTGTCTCCCCAGAAAGTGTCACAGTATGAGTGTCTCTTTAGTGTAGAGGTTATTGAATCCTCATTATTCAAACCACTTATCTGCACAGCCGAGAAAAATGAGGTTTCAGTCATACGCTGGAGAGATGCTCTGTTGTAACTGGGCCCTTTATTCATCTAGGTCTGTGTGTCACCCCTGAGGTCTCCCTGCTTAGACTGACAGCTCCATTGAGCAGGAGCGTGACTGTTGTGCAGCTCATAAAAGCTTTCACCATATCAGGTGTAGCACTGTCTTTGTAGGCCTGAGCCTGCTACTTCTGTGTTCAGTAAAGGCTCGTAAGTCCTGTCTTATCTCACGTGCTATTTTGGCTTTTCAACGAAAGGGAAGAAAACAAAGAAGATGGTCACTAGAGAATGAGGGGTCACCGATACAGTTCGTCACTGCCTTTGTGTAAATGGCTGTGTCAAAACATGAAAGTAAATAAATACTTACATGCACACACACAGATGGAATTGTGTGTGTTTATACATGTATACATATATTAAAAATATCCTAGTTCTTCTAACTCTTTACTCTGTAAGGATTGTAAAGCTGAGGTGGTCACAGATTGCCCTTGAAAAATCTCATCCACTGGGAGCCTTTTTCTGTATTGTAAGAAATAAGGAATCCAGCAGCTGGTGTGGAGGTTGGTTGATGCGAATGGGAACAGCCTGTGTTGTGTATAAGGTATCTAGCATTGACTATAAATATTGTGATTGGCCTGTCTGTGATGACTTGAGCTTAGATATACCCTTGTTGCTCAAGAAATACACCTGATGAGTAAGATGCAGCTTGCACTGGTTGAACTGCTGAGCGCGTCCGCGCACAGCGGTAGTGGAGTTGCTGTTAGGATGGTGGGTGGCAGCTGTTCTGCCCTAGCAGCAGAACCTCCTGCCTTTTTGGAAATGAGGAATAATTCCCTGCTGCAAAGAACAAGAACTTGTAATGACTGGATTTAAAAATAAAAGGATAAAAATTTAAATGCTAAAAGTGCAACAGAGAAAGTCTGGTTCATGTTTGCAGGTTTGCTTTGCTCAGTTCTCACTGAAAACCCTGACCCCTTTCCTTCTCGTCTTCCAGTAATTGCTTTGTGGTTGAACACATAGATTTTTCCTTGGAAAGCCAAAATCATTTCAGCTTTTCCATGTTATATAATTAGTTAACTGCAGATTCCCCAAGAAAACTCCCTTTCATAGAACTTATTTGAGTCTTTCCTGCAAATACTTAGCTCAAAAAACAACAGTCCTGTGTCCTCTTATACGTGTGTGCAAATGGCATTCCAAGTGCTCCAGACTGGAATTATGCATACTTGCTAAAATACACTGAATTGACCATGCATACTGTGGCAGTATGGGCCAGATCCAGCCTGATTCACCTGAGAGCCTTTGGCTGGAGCGTTACAACTCAAGGCTTACTGAAGCAGAGCAGAGTTTTGTCTTTGGCTTTTAGGGTCGACTTTGAGGCTCACTGAAGTCAGTAGAAGGTTTTCTCTTAAGATCACTTGTGACAGTACGACAAATGGCACTCACTGCTGAATCAGTGCCACAGAACTGAGGGCGTGGAATGGGACATATTACATGAAACTTGATTACCTGTGTATTAGGCAGATCTTTTCTGGTGTATGTAACCTGGGGGCCATACAGGGAGGAAATCCAAGTTGTTCACTTCATCACTGCAAGTGATTTAACATTATTTGGCTATGCCGGCACGTCTGATGGTAAGACTTGCTCTTTTCAACCCCTGCAAATGACTAATAATATAAAAATAATTTACAGACTTCTATTTGACCTGGAGATTATTTCCTGAGTGGGTATATTTTGCCAGAAGTGCATGTCTTAACCTCTTTTCTAACTATATATGTCATCCAGACCTTGTTATTTTTAAAAGGCTTTATGAATTCATGGACTGTCAGTACATAGAGAAGTATGACTTGTTTCATGAAAAACAAGATATTTTTGACACAGTATTAAATATGCTCTTGTTCCCCAGCCATGCCTCTTTGCTGATATATGCTGAAAAGATGTACATGGTATAATGCAGGCCGTAATTTGTCTCGCTAAAAGGAGCCGGTTCAGTTTCTTTTAACTTGAGGGAGTGAAAAGATTCATGTGCAATGTCTGGCTTCTTTTTTTTTTTTTTTTTTTTTTTTTTATACAGTCACTCTGAGGTGTTTTGTATGGCCCCTTGGTTTGATATGGATTGACAGTTTTTTCTTGAGTACTTGTCTTTGGGAGTCTTCGCCCTGTGGGTGTATAAGCATGTCAGCACAGGAGACAGGAGACAGGATAACTTCTTGCATTGCAGGTGGGGGCATGCCCAGGCCATGCACACTTAGGTGCTGCCGTAAAGTTGGCAACAAACTCCTCCATCACTTGGCTGGGAATGAAATAACTTTCCTCACTGCTTTTCTGGCATTGCTTCTCCCTATCCTGTCTGTCTCTGGGCCTGCGAGGACACATTTGCCATGTGTTTTGTGTCAGAGTGGCATGTGGGTAGAAAGTGCATTGGGTGCTTTGCACGGTCCCAGTGTTGGAAAGAAATTAATGAGTGTCTGAGGAGGACTCCCGTGTGGGTGTTCGTAGCGTAGGTCTGTTAACATGTCAACACAGGAGAGAGCTTTACTTTTCTTTACAGACCAGATCTGTTAAACAGATCTCCCTTTTGAGAGACAGAAATTGTCATACAGAAGAGTATCATATGCAGATCACTCTCAAGAAGGGCTCCAAGGAAGGCCAGTGTTAGCAGCCCAGGCTCTCCTCCTTTGTCCTGGTGCACCAGCTGTAAGACTTGGCCGGTTATGGGGGCTGACGAAGCTCACCAGATTAGCAGGCTGCCAGTCATGCTGTCAGTCCTTCAGTGTTACTCCATGTAACATCAAGCACTAGAAATCTTGTCTTCAGCATCTTTGATTCAGGTAAATTTTTCTGGAATACTACAGAGAAACAAGAAGGAACAAAGCCTGTTAACTAACTGACAGATTAAATCTTCACGTATGGGATATACTCATTTGCTACAGATTCTATAGCTCTCTTTGCAAGATAAATTCACATAAAACTCACAACCTCTCTTGCATCGTGACTTTTCTTTCCCTTCGTGCGTCTCCTCTTGCCCTTCATTTTTGCTGTGACACTGACAGGATGCTGAAAGGGGTGGCTGTTCTCCAGGATGTCTGCAGGCTGTATAAAACCTGGTGGGTAGCAGGGTGACAGAGCCAGCTAGTTTTCTTGAAGAGGTTCAGTCAGTGGCTGAAACACCATGAAAGGTCACCTTATTGCCCTAACAGATGTGATTGTTGGTTTTACATGGTGAAGGATGCCTGGGTGACTTGTTCTTGAGGGAATTACTCCTGAGCTTCTTAAGAAAAGATCCAGTTGTCATCCATATTTGAGGCTATTCTCCCAGCTTCATTTGCATGAAGCTGTGCCTTTCTGCCAGGTCTGTATTAACAAGAGCATAAGAGGAAAAAGCAACCATCCCACCACTGCTTCCTGCTGTGGCACTGCTCCCACTCCCTCCATATAAGCAGGCAGTCAGCCTTTTACTTCAGTCTTTCTAAGTACAGGATGTCAAACTTACATCCGAAGTGCAGTTTGGTCACCTCTGTGACATGAGGATCAAGTTGTGTGAGTTTTACTACTCTGATTTCCATGCTGCCTTATTCATCCACCTCCACTTAACTCCAGGACCATGCCAAAAGCAAAATACACTTATCCTATGGAGCAGAAAAGAAATATTTTAGTAAGTCCATGGGCTATAGCTTGCCTCAGAGGTAATCTCTTTTATAGTAAACATTTTTGATTGTAAAAAAAGGAGAGAAAACAGACACCTATTTTGGACTTGGAGGACTGACACCTCTATTCAGGAGTTCAAGTTCCAGCCCAGTTCAAGGGGTGGTGGTGTTGCCAGTATGGCTTCATCAAGACAACTGTGTGTCTGCTTTTGCTCTGTAGGATGCTTTCTTTCACACCATAATGAAATGCTTTCATTGGATATAGCCTTGTTCTGCCTTAGGAGAGGATCATTTCTAGGAGAAGCTCTTCCACTTTCTGTATTCAGTGCAATGAATGTCCTTCTGGAGATTCTGAACTGCAATAGTTACCACCTGCTAAGAGGGAGGAAAGAAGTCATTGTTGATCCTGGGTGGTTCCTGGGTGCTGAAAGCTTTAGAGAGTCACATTTTGTAGAGGCTGCTGCATACATTTTTGTTATCAATACATTATGCCCTTTATTGGGAAGCAAAGCCTATATGCCAGCTAATTATGAGAGCATAAGATGAACACCTGGAATGGAAGTAGTAAGGAATTCCTCAAGCTAAAATTCCTTCTCCCCCTCACCCACCCTCCCCTCAACTTCCTGAGCAAAACACTCCTGCTTCTATCCATGTTCCAGATCCCACTGTGGGATGATTGCAACTGAACTGGACACAACAAAGTACAAAGGGTGACATTTACAACTTGTCCTTGTCTTTATCTGGCACCTGTAGGTGTGATGGTCTAGCCAAGTGAAACACCATGGCTGAATGTCCAAACAAGTTATCTTAATAAAACACAATCACTGTTATCTTAACACAGAGCAAACTTAGGTTGAAGTGACCTGCTTACACAGCACTTCTGAGTAAGGCAGGGAGCTTACTCTACCTGCCCACAGGTAACAAAACAAGAGGCATGCACTTTAGAGAAGGACCCTGTTGCTTCCTTGCAGCTGCCTTGTGAAAGGCGCTGCTCCCAAGGCAGTGCGTACTGTGCAGCTCGCTCTGGGGCTAGCGGAGCTTTAGTTTTTGGGAGCACGAATTCTCCCTTGGCTCCCGGGGTCAAGTGTCTGTTATTGCCTCGTCCAGGCTTTCTGTTCTGACAGCCATCCTTTTGTCGGGTCAGTTTTTGACACTGTAGTTCGAAGGTGACTCTATTTGCAGCCCACCCCTCAGGTGTGACTTGAGACAGCTCTCAAGTCCAAACCCCCTTTTGAAGTCCTGCTGCCTGATATTTCATATCACTTTCTGAAAGTGATGGGGGTTTCCCCTGGTTCAAGTTCACGTAGTGGATCTTTTTGTTTTGCACTTACAGGGGGAAAGTTCTACTCCACCAGGTTCTGTTTGAGAGAGTTTCTCTTGTTAAAGACACTGTCTCTCAGAGGAATTTTACCCCATGATTTTTTTTTCACTAAACCGTCCAACACAGCAATGGGTTGTTGGCTCTTAGCCCATCTTCATCTTTTCCAGACAACTTTTAGGTTATTCATGTTATAAATAAGTTTATACTTAAAAGAATCATTTTCAAGAAGAGCTGTGAAGCCCTGGTGAGTAATCGTCTCAGACTAAAGCCTGTACTTGCTCTGTTTTGAAAAGAAGGAAGAAAAATATGTTAACTTCTCCAGTTTTCACATGTTCTTGTTTTCCATGGACTAACACTCCCTGTGTGTGCACACCTGAGGTTTAAAAAGGAAGTACAGACGGTAGGGTTCAGATTCCTGAATACAGCAGCAGAGTGTGCCCTGTCATTGGGTAGCTGCAGTGCTGTGGGGGGGCTGGCTAGAATGGCACTTTGCTCAGAAAAGACCTGTGACCTTCTGGAGTAGTAGGTAGAGACCAGGCAGGTTACCTAGGGCATCTCAAATGGCATTAGATGCTTACTTTTAGGCAACTGAATCGTATCTGTAGCTGCTGCATGTCTGTATCATCAGAAAGGCTTCTAGAGACTTAAGGGCTTGCTTGTCTGTCTGTAGAGGGAAAGGTGTGTAAAATTGCTAGATTTCCATACGCTGAAAAATGCCATTTAAAATGATGTTATATGTTTTTTTTGTTGATTTATCTATTTTTTTTCTTACTTAAACCCACATTTTTGAATAGAAGCATTGAATGATTCATTGAAAATTAAGTTTCTTACATTTCACTGAAATTTTTTCTTGTCTTTTTTTTTTTTTTTTTTTTTTTAAATGGGAAATCAGAACCTTTAAAGAAGTAGATTCATCCTACTTGGGGGGCAAAAAAATAACAACAAAATCCCCCAAAACCACTCAAACCAAAAGCCCCAAACTATAATATTTAATTCATCATAGTTAGCATGTTTTATGTATTCCAGTAGGCTGAATATAAGGGTGTTTCACTTTGTGTTCACTATGAAATTGTGCAAAAGTCACTCCAACCAGCTACTGACACAGTTGCAAAGCTTGTAAGGACATCATAAGAAGGAAAGCAATTCAACTAGAATGCTCTTACCTACATCTCAAGCAAATCTCTTCTGTTTTTTTGCATGTAGGAAAGCTGGAGAAAATAAAGGAAATTAAACAGTATCTGTTATACTATTGTGGTTTATTTGCAGGTGTAGAACATGCAGGGGAGCCTGGAAACAAAGAAGACTGAAGGCAATCAAATCATTTGTATGCTGTTACCAACCAGTGCCTGTAAACAATTAAACACACAAATTGCTGTAAATTTCCATTAAGACGAGGAGAGGGCTCCCACACTGAGACCGCCCCCCTCCTTGCTAAAAGGGAGAGCGACAAAATATTAGGCTTGTAGTTTTGAAAAAAAACCTTGTAAATTCAGATTTTTGCATTGCCCAGCTACATAAGAAATTGTGCAAATTTAGAACTTGGTTCCTGTAAAATGTAACTTGGTTTAAACTTAGAATTGTGCTCTCCTCTGCCCCTCCTTTTTTGTGGGGGTCAGTGGTATTGTCGAGTACGGTTCTGTACGAGCAGTTAATGGCTGAATCAGAGGTGAGAACTGCTCACCTCAACAATTCACTTAGGACTGCAAATCATTAGAAAGTTAATTTAGCATTTCAGTTGCTTTACCTGAGTTGAGGCACAGTTTCTTTAGCCTGTTCTCGGTGCTTTACACACTTCTGCTGAAAGAATTAAAGTGGAGGTTCCTATTTGTTCATGGGAAAGCGCAGAACAGACAGAATGCACTTGTGGATCTGGTTCAGTCTTGCATCCATTTAAAATCCAGCAGTTTCAAATGAGCCACTGCTGCAACCAAAGCAAAATATCATGTGTTTTAATCCTTGTACTTCTGACATGTAGTAGTTTTAAAATGCAATTTACTAGTGCTAGTATGCAGAAAAGTCACATTCAGTCTTCAGGCAAAGACAGCAATAAATTGTGAATCAGAAACCACCAAAAATGAAGTGATTTAGATAGCACTGACTACTGAAGTGTGCTTACTCATAATTGACACAAAAGTCATATCGCCTGCTGGGCAGCAAGGTGAGTGATACCCGTAATGTGAGGTAACAGAGAACAGCCCTGGGCAGTCAAACAGGTTGTAAATATTTATATTAAGAAAAGGTATACCCAAAGGTACTAGTGGACTTCCTTGTACATTTTAAAAACTTTGCGCATCTTTGACATGATGCAGTCCAAAAGGTTTCATGACACTTGTCTGAGAGCAGAAAAGGGCTAAGCACGTGGGTAACCAAGAGGAATTTTTCAGAAACCCATGAACATGCTCTGGTGCGAAGCCACTGCCTGTTACCAAGCCCCAGACACCTCTACCTACATTTTACTAAGGCTGAGTGCTGCAAGATCAGCATCGTAAGCTGGCACAGAGAGCTGAAACAACATTTTTGTTAGCCAATCATTTTTCTATTTGCTTTGTCGTGAATGAGATCAAAATGGTTTCAACAGTTCAGGTGAAAACTGAAGCATGCATTAAAGGAATTCCCATGCATTAAAGCCATAGCTAGAGCCTTCTGACCAGACAATCCAGAGCCATGGTACTAACCCTAGCTCCCAAACATCAGCACTGAATGCAGAGCAACTGGGGCCTAAAGGTCATGACACTTCATCGACCTCAGAGGGACCATGAGAAATAAAGAAGTAACACCAAAATGCCATGACTGAGAAATCCAACTTAGCCCAGTGACCTAGAGATGACAATACCTTTTAGGGTTGCCCTTAAGAAGACCACTACCAATACCCACAGTTTTAAAAGACATAGGAACCTCTGTTTGCAGGCAGGACAACTGTCACTTTATGATTCAGTGTGGTAAAGGTATGGAGAGGAGAAGGTGTCTGAATAATTCAGAGATGAAGAAAGTAAGGAGCTCAGGGCAGGTAGGAGAGGAGTCTGATGGTTGCAGATGAAGTGTGGTCTTAGCTGAAGGAATTAAAGACTGAAAGAGAAGACAAAACTAAATGGATGTCGCCCCTTTCCCTTTCACACTAGGAGCGGTAGAATAAAGACGTTGCCTTCTAATCGCCTCAGAGAAAAGTATTATTTCTAACGTTTGCACCTGTCTGTCACTTTGAAAGCTTTGGAATCTGCAGGTAGAAATTATTTGATCAGCAATGGTAGGTTTTGCATTTGTTAAGAATTAATGATTTTGTGTTTATTTTTCTGTCCTAGCATAAGAAATCTGCAAACAAGTTCATATAGAGGAGCTGAGTCTGAGGAGATTTCTATCAATTTGTGTTAATGGCTGGTGCTGTCAAAATTGTGTTTCTTGTAAAGGATGGGTGCGTAGTTCCCGTTGTGCTTTTCCCAAAGAATGTAAAAATTGATTTACAAGAATAGTTATAATATATATAATAATGAACATTGGGAAAGTAAAATTTACCCTGCATATTACTGAGGGGTACCAGCAGATTATAAACTACAGCTACATATCCATCCGTTATACTGTGCTGGAGAGGAAAGAGGCGGCCAATGGGGCATGCAAAGAGGCACAGACTACAAGGTGTGTAATTCCTCACATCACTCAGTACCACAAGGTCTTGCTGGTTTAGATCTTGATCTATTACCACAGTATCATGTTGTTTCCTGGGTCAGCATCTCCCAGGGGAGGTGCTTCTATTTTTATCTAGACAGAGGCAGTCATTGTCAGCCTTTCCAGGGCAGATCACATAGCAGCAGAACTGCCAAATGAATTCTTAAAGTACGGGAAATGAGTGCTTACAACTGTACTCTGGCTGAGTGGGCATGCTGTTGCAAACTCAGTTGTTTGCAGGCAGGGAGAGGGGCCTTCAAAAAGCTTTTGTCTACCTTAAAATTGATGTGCTGGTTTTTGTTTTGTTGTTCCTCCTTAAATACTCGGGTAGCTTTCAGTGAGTTCTAGGGACTGGAAGTTGCAATAAAAGGAATATAACACCTAAAAGGCTCTTGAAATAACCCAACAAAAGCTGCTGCATGAAAACAAGTCACAGGTGTCATGCTAATATTTATTATGATAGTTGACCTTTTTGAAATTTAAAGCCACCATTCAGGTTTGGTGGCAGAAATTTGAATATGTTCCAGGTAATTAGGGGGGAGGTTTCCCTACCTCTTTATGCGACGCTTAAGTGGTTAAAGAATACTTTTGTACAGTTGCAGTTTTATCCACAGCTGCAGGTGTGCTTATTCTTATTCAGACTCTGCAAGGAAAAAAAGAAAGTCACCTTGTTACACAGAAACCCAGATGGACAAAAACATATCAGCTGTGGAAAACCACAGCCCAAAAGAGAGCCCCAGGAATACAAGGAAGATTGCTCAGCATGGGAGCAAAAGCTCTTAAGAAGTAATTTTCAAAACCACATCCACACCAAGGCTTAAGTGCTGCAGCTTGGCTGGAGTGCTCCATCTTTATGCAAACTGAATTGTAGACATGGGGGTGAGGTGGAGGCGAATCAATTATTTTCACATATTTTGGTATATTGATATTTGGCTCGACTCTACTTTCTTGACACATTACTCTTTTCAGCATTGATAAATTATAAGTGAAGGCTAGAAGTCATTTATATATTAATTCTGCATTTCTCTGGAGCCAGCAAAATTACAAACACATTAATTTTAAACATATTTTCAATTACTAAATCTTAATGGAATCCTTAACCTGCTTTGTATTTGGAATTTTTCAACATGCAGTTGAAAAGCCATACCATATGTGACAGGAAGAATCATGACGTGGTATGGCGTGGGGATTAGCTGGAAATCTAATGAGAAACCTACACCTTGATAGCTCTGTGGGGCTAGTGCTGATTTCTGTGGCTCAGAATCTACATGGAACAAGCTTAATTTACCCTAATTAACTATGGCTACGCTGTCCTCGAGCAGGTTGGCTGTAGCTGCAGTGAATGACTGTCAGGTTTTTGGATGGTGAATGAGATAATGGCAATGGTTTTTATAACAACTATTTGTGCTCCCTTAGGCTAAGGGAAAGGTGCTTGACTACAACTGACAAATGATTCTTGCTCAAATTCACAAAACTTCAAATCTTGAATGAGATGTTTGTGAATGCCTTGGGGTCACATAAGTGCTTCTAAACCAATACTTAACTATGAGTTACAGTCAGTGGGTCTTCAAACTTTTCAATCATAACAAGATTGATGATTCTTCCTCTTAGATTTTTCAACCCAACAACTCTGATGTTTCATTCTGACTGTATTTCTATGGTTCTGGAGAAGATTCCCAGTTCATGAACTACAGGTGCAAAGAGTTTCAAGGCCAAGAAAACTGCCCTTATGAAATGTCTTATGCAAGGGCTCTTCTAACAATGCAAGGGTTATGCAAGGGTCCTTGTTAAAGTGTAGAAGATTTGGGGGGTTTATGTTTATGGACTGAAACGAAATATGTACTAGAAAATCGTGCTGTTTTAGTGGCATAGAACCCAAAAATGTCTTTCTTAGGAGCTTCCTGTGGTGAAGGGAATGATTTAGACAGTAGGCTTTTCAAGAGCCATCTCTAAAGTCAAAAGCTGGTTTTGAAGCAACTGACGACACGAAGTGTCTGAAGCAGCTCTGTTTGCAACTCTTTGCAAGTGAAGAGATACTCGATTTGTGGCTGATGTAAACCCCCCCCCTTTTAATTCTTATATGAGTTCATTGCTAGTCATCTTATTCAGACTGAACAGTTCCTTTGAACATTCTTTTAATATGTAATTATAATTGCTGAAGTGAAGCATAAAATGAACCTGTAATAGAGTATTAAAAGTCTAGCTAAATATCTTGCCACCTTTCATATTCTTTCATACATACTTTCCAAGAGCAAGAAACAGAAAAACCCCTTCCCTATACGTACACTACTTAGAGCAGCCATTTTGTGTAGGGAGTACTGCAGAGCTTTGCCTTACGGTAGTCATCAGCAGACAAGGACAGATGCAGATTTATAAAGCTTTTATTTATTATTCATTTTTTTCAAAGTAATAGAATTGAAAAGTTTCTGGAGAAGCATGTGGCTTGACAAAACACTGAAGATTTATGAAATACTCATTCAATACCAAAAGAAAAAAAGGCAGTGGGTGGGGAAGTTACACAGAAGTATTTTTCTTCATATTTTTCTTTCTGGCAACCTAGATTGGAGAAACGAAAAAGATTATTTTGTAAAATGATGGCATACTAGCAGTATTTCAACTCTCTGTAGGCTATGTAATGGCAGATGGTAAACCATCCATTGGAAAAAGCAAATGCCTTGTGGTTAAGGGGAAGCTGGATGCTTTTTTGAGCTGAAGGAGTGAAATGGGTGGAAGGGTAGGCAGAGAGGGGTAGATCGATAGAGGGCCCGATGTATATGCATTATTGCTGTTACCTACAGCCAGTTAAGCGCCAATTCCCAGTGTGGCTCTGCTCTGGACTATCAGGTTTGCACCCTAGAAAAAGGAATACAAACAGTTGTGAGAGAGAAACCAAGGAAGCGAAGTATGTAGTTGCCTCAGCAGGAGCTTTTATAAACTTGAACTTGTGTCTGTGTTATGGTTCAAAGGACAATTCAAATGGTACTTCCTAACCTTAGAATCTGTGCACTCCTGTATGTTGGGTATTTTTCAATTTTGCAAATGTAGAAAAGAAACTTTTACAACGAATTAGAGACAAAATAATTATTTCCTAAGTCTTCCTAATATATTTACATATGCAATACTTTTGTTATAAATAAAAAAGGATTCAATCAATAAGCAGATTAGGATATTAGTAATACAGTTCTATGCTTCAAATGATAATGAGGTTGTTTGTGGAAACTGTCACTTATACTTCCTGTATGCTTTGTGCTTGCTCAGTAATAAGGCTACAGATAAACTTCTCCCGTGGTTATTTCGGAGAGAAGTAAATGTTGAATGAATTAATGTATCTGTGGTTGATGAGTTTGAAAATGGAGCGACTGCTCATAGGGCATAATCAGCTGGACTCCACCTGCCAATCTATCTATATTTGCTAGGTGTCTCTGATAATTAATCCAGATGCACTTTTTACTCGTAACCCTTCAGAGTTCTATACAAATCTGTAGCACAAAAGGAAATTTACATATGCTAGAGACAGTTTAAATTCTACACATACATATTTTTCAACTATGGCCTTCAGATAATCAACTCTTCTGGACAAGGCTCTGCAGAACCTTATCTAACCTAAAATTTAGCCATGCTTTGAGCAGATGACTGGAATACGTTACCTCCAGACAACCTTTCCACATGAAATCGTTCAACGACCATAACCCGTGACTATAATCTGTACAGCTGAGATAGATGTTATGCTCTGCAGACAAATTTATTGTAAACACATACAAACAAGTAACCACAGCAGCACGCAGAACTACTTTTGCAGTGCATGGTTTCCTAGAAAGTTTCCAGTTTCCTGTATATGTTTTTTGTTTTCTTTTCTTTTAAAAAAGGAGATCAGAAATACCTCTTCCCCAAAGCATGTCTCAATATCTGATTGCTTGCAGCACTTGTCTACCATGGCAGTGAAACCTTCAGCAATTGTCTTTATTTGTTCTTCTGTCATCTGGGGCTTGCGTTTAATGAGGTTGACAAGCAATCTGAAAACAAAGCCATAATACACAGTTAACGCTACCTGTTGTTGTTTGATTTCCCAACTTAAAATACATCATTCTATGCGGGTACAGCTCATTTATGAGGTTTTTTTCTTGTCATGCCTAGAGGGTTCTGTGCCTATTTGTGACTCCAAACTCTGAGTCTACCACAATCATCTGTTTGCTTTTTGTTATCCTGGTTAAAGGTGTGAAAAAACTTACTGAAATGATCTGTATGTTGTCTTAATTAAGTACATCTTAAGACTTGCACTGGCAGTGGACCTACATGAAACTGGTCAGCTAAGACACTGATTTTATTTGAAGAAAATACCCTATTTTGCTTCTTCCAAACTCCACGATGTTATGCACTGACAAGCTCAGTGCAAACACATAGTTCCATCTGGTTTTCTTTTTGTCACTAGTCAAGTCCCAGTCAGATGACAAAACAGGGGGTTTGTAGCTGCCTTCTGCCCCTCCTTAAACAGATACACTTCAGAAGTTTTTCTACAAGGTATTTCTTTTAGCTTACTTCATATGCCCTAAGTCCCGTTCAGCAGGAGAAGCAGTGCACAGTTTTTCATCAAAGCTGAACATCTCAGGGTCAAATGCTGGAGGCACATATTTGGTATCTACTCCCATGGCAGTGAAACATGGTCTCCTGTAAGCATAGGAGTCGCTGCAGCAATGTGAAACGTTGTCATTTATGGGTGTGGTCTCCTGTCTCCTGCACATATCCTGAATCACAATGCTCAGCTGAAAAGAGAAGGGAAGAAGGACAAACGTGAGTTACACCTTCTACAATAACAGAAGAAATAGCTGATGTTTGTGTCACAATAGCATAGCTGGAAGTGGAAGCTGTCGGATCTAAACAGCTGCTTGGAAATGGCATGGTCTTAAAATAAATACATATTCCTCAAGTTGGGCATTTCTTAATCTGCCAACAGCCTGTCCATTGGGCTACAATCAGGAAGTATGTTTTTTTAAATATTCCAAATGCAAGCTGCCGCAGACCCAGTTGACTTACTTTTGCTTTCTGAGGGAGGGCAAAGTTTAGCTAAAATTTTCACAAGCTACCATCAGTCTACTATTTAGGTTCTCACACCCATTAAAAATGAACAGACTTCAAATTCTGTGAGGTAGATGCTTAGCTTGGGGTTTATGAAAAATCATCACGAGTTTACTATCTCACCAGAATTCAATATTTTTGAGAACAGAAGTCTCCAAGAGGGCTAGAGGGAATAAATACATGTACTCACATATCCCTCAGAGCAAGGTAGGCGTTTGTCTTGAGGAAGCTGGCAGCACTTGTTACCGACTTCTGTCATTTTCTTTCCAATTTCAAGCAAGGTATCAGTTGATACTTGGGGCATTTTCTTAGTGTAGCGGATCAGAAGTCTGAAAAAGTCATATCAAAATGACTGTTTGCTCACACTTGAAGAATGCTCTACTGAGCTAGACTACTGAAGTGAAAATAGAAGTGAAAACCAAATAAATTTGCCCAAAGCAGCCAGCATCATTATTTACACTCAAGAATATTTCTCAGAAAGTACTTACGCTTTAAGAAAGTCTTGCTCGCCATGGGTAGTGAGAAGTTCACAGTTTGTCTTCACAACATCCTGAGTTTCTTCGATATGTTTGTTCAAATCCTCTTGCTGCAAACAAGTATAAATTTATTAGTAACATTAGAGCAGGGCATCGTGCTAATGGTCGTACAAATATACCTTCTGACCTCTTCTAAATCTTCCTAGCTATAAGATGCCCATTTTGTGAGGCCAGTTGCTTCCATATAGCCTGGAAGGCGTAGGGAGGACTTGATCCTCATGTGAGTCTTAAATGAGAACCCAAATTCCATTAAAAATGCAGCAGTGTTTTTTTGAAATTTAATTTAATTGCCCATTGCACTTACTTTCTAGACAATGGGTATTTTTCTTTGTCTGCTTAAATCAGGTGAATATTTTTCAAGTGTAGGATTATCAACCGTGAGGGGAACATCCTCTCTCTATCCCTTGGCCACGGCTGCCAGCGACTCAGCCTGTGCTGTGACTCATGTGCGATTCAGTTGAAGACTAGAAGTCCTAAGTTTAGGTGTCTCTATGTGAAATGGCCACGCGGGTTCTCATCGTAATCCATGAGCAGCCATACCCAGCATAGGCAGTGAAGCCCATAGAATAACTCAGCTAACCAGCTCTCAATCATCTTCTCAGTACAAGCAGAATCACTTTTGAGAGATGGAGGCATCAGGCAGCTGAGTGAAACTAGTCTGAAATTTCATAAGGTGACCAATGAAGTTACCCTGTGATCTGAGAAAACTCTGTATCCTTGTCATGGGCTCTGGACTGCTTCACCTCCCCTCAGAACCCAAACTTCCCCTGGGATTAGTGTCTCAAAATGCCTTCTGTCTGCTCGTCCATTGGAGCTTCTCAGCCCATTTGTTTCATGATAGGTACTGACTAAGCATTCTAGTTGTCTGCAAACAAAGCTTTGCACCTACAGCATTTCCATAGCACTCAGCAGGGTTGTCTGTTTTGCAGCACTTTTCCAGGAGTGTTTCATATCCCTTAGCAACTCTCAGAATCAGCTGCGTGGAGAACTCAGGGTGTCTTCGTGAGTATTCATAAACAAACCTGAAAGACACAGGAGCTGACAGAATTAGAGCTCCCAAACAATCTGCTGCTTTCTTCCTGCACAACACAGTAATTGACAGTGACAGTTCCTCGAGTAAGGTGGACAATGAGCTTGGAATGCTCTTTGCTTGGTTTAGCAGAATTTTTTGGTTGTTTTATTGTCTGCCAGCAGGGCAAATGTGAGAGGAACAAAATAGTTCCCCAGGAGAGAGTACTTCTTATGCGGATAACATATGTGGGCATGCACAAAGCCCTCAAATAAAAAGAAAGGCACAGATAAATTCGTCTTTGATAAGTAGGACAGTGCTGAACAGAAACAGTTACAAAGCATGAATGAGAAACTAGGGATTCCACTAGGATTCAATCTATGTTAGTTACATCACGCTTCCATGTGGTCATCTCTTTTCTCCATATGCACTTTAAATACCCAAAGGGACAATTTTTCCAGTGGTGCGAAAGGCTGTAGTTCAGGAAAGACAGAGGATCATTTGCATGAATGTTCAAATACAAGCATGCATACTGTTGGCATTACTTACTCTGACAAGAATGCATCATGGTCTGCCTCAAAGCTTTTACACACTTCCTTATCCTGTATGTATTTTTCAACTAGTGAGGGGAGATCTTCAGGTTTGTCATCAAAATCTGCTTCAATAATGCACTGGCTTCGTTCCACGACTGGCTTCTCACAGCAGTGCTTGATTTTACTTGAGAAAACTTCTTGTTTAGAGCACATGTACGTCATAAGCTCTGCCTGTAAAATTAAAACATATTATTACACAAGCTATGAAATAACAATTTAAAGAGAGATTGACTTATCTCCTATATCTTTTTCAGATTCTTCCCTTTTCATTCAGGTCACCTATTTACTTAGAACTTTTCTAGAGAAATACTGTCTCCATACAAAGAGAAATAATCATCGGGACGGGCACGTCCCGTGTGTGTTGTGCCTGTAAACATCATGCTCAGGGAAGAATGTGATTTGCTCCCCGATTTTACAAACTTTGAGAAGACAAACTACAGAAAGCCAAGGAAAGTCACTGAGTGGTCTGTCACAAGGATGCCTGATGGATCTTGTCAGTCCTGTCACGTACCCAGCTCTGATAGAGGACAAAACATGAAAAAAACCCCCGAGCTTCATAAAGCCAGCACTGGACACTAGCTGGTTTAATAAGTGTGCCTAAGTTCCAGACAGACAGGCAATATTTAAATCACGTCACTATTGCAGATTTTTGCTAATCGTTCCATGCGAGCTGTTTTCTAGAGTTCATTAGCATTACAGGAAAGCTGGACTAATGGCAGTACACACACCAGGGCAGCAAAAAAATTGTGGCTTTTCCGCCTATGCTTTCTTTTGCTTTGTTTATGATTGATTTGAAGTGAGTAAATACCATCAATCTCCCTGAGAAATGTTTTTATTTCAACCAAACACACACGCTATACTGTAAGTAACAGCTCCTTGCCCTCACCATCATAAAGGGCTAGAAGTGGAAGTAGTCCTAATCCTAGTTTCAGTAACAGTCAGCTGAGCTGGCCATGAGTTTTTCACGGGCTGAGGAACCTTCCAGCAGTGTTGAGTACAAGTTCCCTAGACTGTGAATGAAGATCTGCACAAATGACTGTCTTCCTAAATATTTTCCAAGTATGTGAAGATTTTTGAAAAATGGTTAGCTTACCCTGTCATCCATGCATTCGACCATGTCACCCTCACAGCACTCTCTGTAGATACCCTTAATATCACGCAGAACTTTAAGAATTTCCGAGAATGGAGCCTTGGGATATTTCTGGCCCAGGAGAGCAAGTTTACTAGGTGAAAAAGAAGAAAATTACACTTGTTTTAAAGCTCTGTATTGAACAGAAACCTTGTGAGTCACTAACACTTATGATGGTGTAGATCAGCATTGTTTCATGTAAATATTAATTCATTTTTCTCATATAGTTTCTGGTGGCTGGGGAAAAAATAAGCATCGACACCTGCATCAGTAACCCTGGACTCCTTTAAAATAAACAGAAAGAAACATGTTTGTGATGCTTCTGTTCTATCTGAGCTGCCTATGTAAGAATCACACCCTAGAATTCCCTGTTTCTCTTGATTGACTGTAAAGCATCTCTGGATTACTTAGCACACATGTATGTAGTCCTAATTAAACCTTTAAATCAAAGCTGACTATGTCTAGAATAAGGTAATCCTAGTCAACGTCAGTACATCAGACTAGCTGCAGAAGGATAGCAGTTCTCTGTGCTGAGGCAGGTGATCCACTTATTAATTTCAAAAGTCTGTCTTAATCTTAAAAATGCACCTTTGACAACAACTGTAATCCTGCTAAATTTGACTTGTTTTAAGGTTCAGACTAGTGCCTTTGCCGATTACCAGTGTACCAATCGCTAAAAGCTGTAGGCATCAAATGTAATGGCAGCTTTGGCAAAAAAGTAGATTGACCACACTGGAATCTCTGGTTCTGAGTGGCACTCTAACTCTGCATCTCCTCGATTGGTTCTAGAGATGGTTTCGTTCCTCTGTAACTGGCAGCCAATCTTTTTACTAGTACTCACTATCAGCCTGGAATACACAGGTGCCCTTTGCATCCAGTCTTGATGCAGAAACCTGACCAGAATTAAATGCTACCTTTAAATAAATAGGCTAAGAAATCGCTGTCAGCGTAGTGTTGAAGGACTGACCCACTGATCTCTGTTCTGTTGGACGGTGGTCCTCAGCCAAAAGTGTGCTAGGAAGTACCATGAGTGCAGTTTTCAAACTCAGCATACAGAAGTGAATTATATATGCTGGTGTTTTCCTCTTGAGTAGTTTCAGGTTTAGGTTAACAAACCTACTTCTTATAAAAAAAACTGATTGGAACTTACTCTGCTTGGAAAGTTCTCTCACCAAACTTCTTGAGGATTCCACAAGAATACTGCTGCTTCACACTGACTTTCTTGGCTCTTTCTTTTATGGCAACTGCCTATAGTAACAGGATGCACATTGTCACATTAAATTCATTACATCTAATGGACGAAATAAAAAGAAAATCTGAAATTCCCACTTCAGAAACACAGCAGGTTCTGGTCCGTTTAGCTCTGATGAAAAGCCAGGCCCACTGAGAACACTTTAGGCAGTCCTAACCAGTTTGCAGTCAGCATTTAACTTCTAGTCCATACGCTATATCTTAAATGGTGCAATTCTCCAGTGGACACGCTGCTGTTCACCAAATACTTCAATTTCATTGAAACCTTGTGGCTTCAGAGTAGCATAAGTTGTGTTTCAAAGCACTGCAGTGATTACACAGAAACAGGGACTAAGATGGAGACACAGGGAAATTTTGGCTCATGACATTCTCAAGGTTAACATGAAATCTTGGCTACAGTTCTCTAAAAAGCAAAGCTATGTGGAAGTCATCTGCTGTTGATTCATAGGGTTAACACAGGATTAAACCTGACCTTTCTTTACAAGTTCTTCATACAAAGATTTGCATGAAGAGGAAGATTCTACCCGTTTCTCACTCTTTCTAGTCTGTTTACTTGGGCAACAAATAGGGGAAGCATGGGAGAGACCTCTCGTACACCTACATGGTGGGTGTGGTGATGGCATGCCAAGTGAGGTCTGGCTTGCTCTAGTGCCTCTTCAGCAGCATGCCTTCTCGTTACAGTTCACCACAAATGAGAAATCCCCAGTGCTACACATTATTTGGATTCAGCACATGTGTGTAGTACTCATGGCTGCTTGATAATGTATTAGCAAAGGGACAAAAAGACAAGCTTAATTACCTACAGTTTGATTCTTTTGTTCTTTCACTTAAAAAAATCAAAATACGAATTTTTTTACCACCTTAGTTTCTATGAAGCCATATACAAATGTTTACTGAAAACCATCATGGGAAAGCACAATTTTGGAAATATAAACCCTAATTTAACAGGAGCCTTTTAAAGTCATGTCTCCCTTTAAAAAGATGCTAAGATCACGAGAGACCTTTATGTAGCAGACCAGTTGCTTAGTTTTCATCCACAGTGAAAAATTTGATATACCTTTTCATCCAAGCAAGCACCAACGTCACTCTCTTTGCAACAGGTTTGAAGTGCATGTTCGTAATCAGCAGCCAGACTGAGGATTGTAGGAGCGTACAAGAAGGGGTTTCTTCTTGCAACAGAATAGATGAAACTATAAGGAAAAGGAAAAACTAAGTTACATATTCCAATGACCAGAGCAAGTGGCCTTAAATCTCTTACAGCTTCTGTAACTTTTATTTCTAGTTAAAAATGTAATCTACTTTCCTGACATGATGTCTAATAATGGTAAATGCTTTGCTAAATCTCACTGTTTCTAAAGCAAGACTCAATAACAATGATTGAAGGATGAAATCCTTATATTGTCAGCCACTTAGTGCTTTTTAAAAATGCACTGTCAAATACTTGAAAATTCTGATTTTGAATGGGCAAATTTAATCTATAGACCTTTCACCAAGATTTTTATTGCCAATTTTTGTTCTTTTTACTGTTACTTTTCTTCACCCTTTCCAATTACAATGGGTGTATTGGGAAGCTGGAGCAAGGGAAATTACTACATCGATATTGGAAACACTGTGGTTTTTCAGGGTTTTTTTTGGAAAAAAAAAATCCCCCAAGATTTATAAAATGTGATTCCCTTAAAGCCCATTTTTGAATGGAAAATCTAATGATTGAGCAACTGTGTTATACATGCCGATAAGAGGTGGAATACTTGCAACTTTTTCAAATGTCCTGCATGTCCACACACTCTGTATAGCTTGGGGATCCCTCTTCTGTACGACTAAATACTTAAATAGTACAAAATGGCCATTTTTCTTACTGTCCCAGCAGTGACACCCGGTTGTCCTGATACTCCTTGCATATCACATCAGAAGCTGGTCTTTGGTATGGCTGAACGAAGTCTGGTTGGGGAACTTTAAATGACAGGAAACACTCATTTCTTTCAGGATCAGCTTTACCACAGCAGTCAGCCATTGCACCATATGAGTCACGGAGCTTTTCTACTTGGCAGATTTCATCCAGGAAAATGGAGGGCTATAAGGGAGATGCTGAGGGTCAGAATTATTGTTTATAGACAGTGTAATGTACATTCTGTTTATCTGTAAAAGAAAATCCAGACTGAGAAAAATAAATATGTTTTTACCGGGTAAGATTTAGACCACAAATGAGAACAATCCATTGTTTTCAACACAATTTCATAAAGTTTTATTTCATGTGGTCTAACATTAAAACTGTTATAATGCTTTATTTAAAAAAAAAAATATTTAATTATAGTTTAAAATACTCTGTGCAAGACAGTGATCTCCTTTTACTTATAATCTGACTGAACTGAATTTTCAGATTAAATGAAGCAGGATTTGATATTCTACTTGATGATCAGCTTGGGAAACCTTTAGGGAGAACTAATGTAGTCATGTCATCTGGGCTGAATGTTAGAGCTGGCAAGAACACAAGCACCTAACTTTCTGAAGGGCCAAGCTGAACCTGCTAGATATCCAGGGATCTTATGTACCTACAAAATTCTTTTGTCACTGGGTCCTAGAAGAGTTTTCATAAAACTAAGTACCTTAAATTAGCACACATACCTTTTCAAGTCACCCCAGTGTGAAAACCCACACACTTTGGTCACTTTAATAGCTAGAACTAGACCTGTATTTTACACCTGCACTATTGGTACTAAATGCTAATATTAATTTTTAGGCAATGCTAAACTTAATGTGCCAAAGCGTGACGTTTGGGCACCAATACATGGCTCCTCAGATCATTTAGGCAGTGCCAAAGGGCAGAGTTTCAGAACCTGACAAAACCAAATTCTTTGTTTCAGCACTAAAATCTGAGCATTGGTCGATGACAACAGCAGCACCTGAAAGGATCAGGTATAAATCCTCAGTGAGGATGATTGTGGTAGTTGCATAGAATGGGGAGAAGCAATACCAAAGGATTCACTGCCTACCAGTGATTTTGTGCATTCAGGAGCATCCTCATTGGCCACACACTTCTGTGCCAGATCAACAACATCCTTCACCAGCTTAGACAGTCCGTCGTAAGAACACCTCTGGAGATACTGGGCAAATGTGATCATGGTACTGAAACAGAAACCCCATTTTGGAATAAGGAGACAAAAAACATGACAGTCGATATTTTCAAAGGTGCTTCTGGATTCAGAATTGTTTGTTCAAATGGCATGCATGAATGCTTAAACAGAGTACAATGAAGAGCATAGTACTGGATCCCTTAGCCTTTCTCATCTCACCTCCCCTCTGAAAAATGTTTGTAACCTTACTTCCCAAGAATAAAAGTCTTCAATAATAGATTAGAAACAAAACAGAAAAGACTGTGATTTGAGTTTTCTGCCACTTTTACCAGCATATTTGTAAATGCCATAAACCAAGCTGGTTTTTACCGTTGTTACCAATTACAATCTCCAGGCTGCCTTCTTTCAAAAGTAGTTAGTTATGTTCATGCCAGGGCCCTCTGCCATTCCCCAAACCAGATTCAAAAGAAAATCACTGAGCTGTCTCAAACAACTTGTCACAGGTTTGTTTTTTGAGGTTGGTAGTTTGTTTGGGTTTGTTTTTTTGGTAATGTCTCAATCCAGCCTAACTCCTCTCCATCCTAAATTCATCAAAACTATATTACTCATGCCTATTTTCTTTTCACATAATGAACGCAGGTTTTCTCATAAGGTTTGCAGGGAGTTCTCTTTCCAGAGACCAAGAAATTCATCATGACTTTTGCAGGTCTTACACTATTTGTAGGCTCTGTATACTAACAGTAAGAAGGCTAACTCAGTGCCGTGCTTCAATGAGACACAGACACTCTTCACTAGATCATACAGTGTGTTTTACTTTCCATTTTTTGTCCAATATCAACAAAGATGGAAAACAATCAGAAAATGTAAGATGAACATTGACTTACACTGCCTTAAATGTCTCTTCCTTCAAATCATTGTAGCGATGGGCAATCTCACTCTTGTGTTCTAAGAAAAACAATGAGAACATGATGGTCAGTCTCACTGGCTGTGCCAGACCTCTCACAGAACACACTCTAGTCACCTTGGGCCAGATTTTCAGAAGTGTTCAGCATTCACCCAGCTCTTATACTTACGGGAGTAATATCATTGTTTTGAAACAGAACAAGCTAGTGCTGAGCACTTGTAAACCCCCACCTTTTGGTACACCATCCTGGGCAATCTGTACTGCTTTTCTGGGAACTTCAATCTAAAGCTTTCTTCAGGCCACCTGGAACTCTTTGTTGTCTCAGGTGATGACCCTTGTTCATTTGTCTGCAGATACCTAACTCTTATGAACGCTCATCTTTCTGAAGTAACCCAAGCACGTGATTTTTAGGATTCTAATGCAATACCTTTGTAAGCACATATTTAATTCAAATACTCAAAATGACTGCTGTAGATTACTATTAAGGGTTAGCAAACATGTCCTTTGCATAACCAACAACATCATCAAGTCTACACTACAAATAAAGGAATGCAGCTGCAGTTTGTTCAGAGCAAGCATTAGGAGAATTTTCTCTTTTTGAACACAAAATTATTCACTTGGCAGATTCCTATTTCTGTTCCACTCAGTGCATACTGTCTGTGCTCTTCACGAGAAGGATCTCTTCACTTGGTCCTGATGGTAACAAATACAGATTGCAGTTATAGCTTGCTCTTAGTGAGACATATCCCACAAGATTTTCCCAACAGGTACTGAGGCATATAGCCATGCTAATGAAAGAGCTAGAATGGGGCAGTCATTTTGTTATAGAAATACCACTCAGGAACATTTAGAAAATGTGAAGAGTAATTCCTTTACCTAATGGAATATACCTGCTTTCATAATAAGGGTTTCAGTGAAGAAAATTGTAATTTAAAGGTTTTTTACTGCTGTTCACTGCCATTTCCAGCCAGATCCTGAACTCTCAGGTTTGTTAATTTTGGATATTTTCATGTTTCAAAGGAAAATCAAAAATATCAGTGGAAAAAATCTGAGGACTGCCTGCAGAAATATTTGTTGGACCAAGGTCTAAAGTTTTACAATACAGGTAGAAATGACATGATGAGTTTTTGGCTAGCCTTCTTATATCCCAGACTGAGATGTAGGTTTTTGGATTTTTGACCTACTGGTGTGAAAACCATTGCCTTAAACTGGTGAGGAGCTCGCTTATGAACTACCTTTTGAAAGACAGAACTTCCAAAGGCACAGTGCTTCTACTTTTTCCATGCTGGAAAGTAACAGATTCCAAATAATCATCTTCTGTTCATGTACTACTCTGATGTTGCAAAGGGACATCACCAAACTTATTTGCCCAGTTAAGTTAAGTTGTCCTCAGTGTTCTACCCATCTCCTCACAATTTCTTCATTTAGTTTCTTTTCAAGTCAATCAAATGTTTCTGTTCTATTTGGATCAGGCTTGCAAGAACTGATGGTGAAATTGCATTAAAGACATGAAATTGATATAATAAAGATTGCAAAGGCAACTACTTAGTCCTTTCTTACCTGCCTCTCGAGGAACTCTTTCCAGATTCCAGGATGTGGCAGAACTTAAGAGGAAAATAAATGAAATTAATGTTACCCACTTCATGGCTGCAAATTATGATGTGGGCAAAATTACTCAGAAATGCTAGGAAGATTGAAGGGAAAGCATTTGCTTATATACCCTTTACTGACTGTGTCTGTAAAATATTAACCATAGAGCTGGCATTTGTAGATTTCCATTTGGTCTGAAGAAGATTACAAAACTTGGACTGTCCTTGCCAAAAATGAATTTGATATTATTTGTTTATTATGTGTTACTCTAGGCCTTTTTGTCCTGAAAAAGTTGAACCTTCCAGCACCCAACTAGATAAAGTTTTGCGCAAATTTCCTTATCAAAGGACAAACAAGGAGTTCAAGGCATCAGACGAAAAAGTCATCAAGTCTAATCCTATAGCTGTGCTTTTTTTTTTTTTTCTGCTAGTATTTGTTCAAAAGCAAAGCAGGTTGGTATTGTACAGTAACAATTCACCCAGTTAAGATTCTTCCCACATATTCTCTTTAATTAGAGAATTTTAGTTTTAAATCATTTCACAAAGATGAGATGGCTTATCTAGACTTTGGTATAAAAAATACAGATTGGTAAAATACAGCAATGAGCACAAAGATACAGGTAAACAGCATAACCAATTTCAAGGGGCTTCAGAATTCTTAAAGAAACAGAAGGTAAAAGTGTGGAATGGGTACCAAGGAATCTGAACTCTCATACTATATGTAGCTCCAGAGTGAAACAATTTCATGCCGACGATGGGTCTATGTCAGTAAATTGGAACTGACCCTTTTACACTGTATGAGACTACATCTCACTCCGAATTTTGGGAGATGTACTTAGGGTAACATCCAAGAGGAAAGCTGCTCGAAGAGCCAAAGGGCTGATTTGAGCACCTGCTTTGTTAAGTCCCATTCTGTTTTTTTGTGGGTACTGCTATTCACCAGGATCCAGAAAACTGCCAAATACCTTTGTAAACATTATAAAAATAACAAGTATAAGGTTGGATCCTTACTGAGTGCAAAGTGATGTAGTTCCATAGTGGGAAATACTATGATTATCTTTTAATGAATGTCTTTCTCCCGTGGCTGGATGTCAACCCACACAACTATTCTCAGTGAGTTGCTGGAGGTTGTGCTCTGCCTTGCAACTCACTGCTTCAGGTAGCAAGTACCCACCCAGTATAGTTTAGAGAGAGGTCTTCTAACACCTCCTTAGTGCTTAAGGGTCCCTTTTCTATTCTGATTTTTTTCTCAAGTGGTCAGTTTTACCACAACTCTGTATTATTCCTATGGGGAGTAGTATGAATAATTCAATTTTCACCTTTCTGGGAATCTGACAAAATTAGGGAAAAAAAAAAAAAAAAAAAGGCTTCACTTTGTTTCTGAACTTCAGTTTTTAAACATATCTTAAATAAATCAAATGACATGTCTAAGCATAAAATATTTGCAGGCAATTTTCATTTAAAAAAATGTCAAGGCAATGCATCTTGTCTTTCAGAAAGACCATTCTGTTCTTCATGAATAACCACATAAAACTTAGATGAGTTTACAGAATAGTTTGATACAATGAAATTTGTACTAGTTGCTGCTTTTGCAAAAAAGATTTGCATTTTCTCAAGTCTGCTGCTGACATCTTTGTAGGTGAAAAAACAGCATTCCCATTAGTGATTTGAAGGAACAGGGCTCTATTTTGGGAATTAAAGGTTATATGGATGAAGGATGGTGGGGGGAAGCCAAATTTGCAGAAATACAGCCTTTTGGTCATAATGTTAGAAATAGGGATTATTAGGGTGGTTGTAGCAAAATCCTAACTTTCTGGAGAATGATGGGAATTACGGTGACCTTTCAGACCCGTGCTGCTTTAGCCTAACAAAATCCAGGAAAGAGCTAGTTAAACACTTCAGTTTGTAATTGGTTTTACTGACCGTAACCCTCTGTCAAAGAAGAACCCATTGCTGAAACGTGGATATTTATGCTTAACCTGTACCCTTCAGAACGGCTGAAGACTACCTAGCATATTTTTGCACAGTCCCTTAAATCAATGACATTTGGATGTATCAGCATGCTGAGTTTGGAAACTTCTGCACACGTTTTGCATTGATATAAATGGTGAGAGGCAGAATGGTAGACACAGGGGCTCAACAATACTTTTTCCAAGATCTCAGATAAGATGAATGCAAAGAGCTAACTCAGCAATCTGACAAGTACCTTCTGACCCGATGAAAGCCACTGTAAAAATGGAATAGAACTCCTACAAACATCAGCTTGATTTACCTGTGTCCTCAACCTATGTCTCCTTTCAAATCTTAACAGAGCATTCAGTGAGATATAAACACACATTTAGGTGTCTTGTTGATAACCACAAAGTGGCTGTAAAAGGCAACCAGACTGGAACACTGCCCAAGTTGAAGTGGTGAAAAAAAGTGGTAGTGGCAAATCATGCCTTAGGACAGCTTTTGAAATGCTCTCAGCCTGTAGCAAAGCAGTCTTCAGAAAATGACAGCTAAGGACTGGGAGGGGAAAGTATTTTCTGTTACACTGAAACATAGCACAAGAAAAAGTCTTGATATGTAATGTTGCATCCTGAAGGCTATCTGGAATTTTCCCCTGCAGCATTGTGCAGTGTTAGCAAGAACACTACTGGTCCCCTAGAGTTAATATGTAAGTTTGTAATACAGGGTCCATGTTTATTTCTAGATATCTTCTGTTGTCTGTCCTGTACTTCATGCCAACATTTCATATAACTGCTGAAAGAGAGATCTGAACTCCACTGCTGCTGTTTGTTTAACAATATTAAATATTATACTGAGCTTCCTGTTACTCAATTCTTCCATACTGCATTGAGTACACTTTCAACAAAGTTGTGCTGGTATTATAGAAAGGAACACATCAAATGCATTTTAAGACGAATGCATTTTTACACACACTTATGTATAAAGTTACAGATGATAACTAGTGTTATTTCAGATGTGGGGGACCAAAGGACACTAATTCCAAGAGTAATTGACCTGGAAAAAAAGGATGCATCGTTTTAAAATACATCATCATACCATGCTGTGCAAAGTGAAAGAGCAGAGACCAAGTGGATTAGTTCATTCTCAGATTCCCACTGGAGAAGTACGCTCAGGGATACTTATTTAACCAACTTCTGTCTGCCTATGGCCAGGCTTCATTTTGTGTTGTGCACTCTCTTATGCTGGATGCAACATAATTAGTAAGGATGAAGAGATGCCACGGTACAGCCAGAGCTCTCAAGGAACTTCCGAGCCATGAATTTTACAATAACACCTCCTTTATCAGAACCGCCCCCCCCCCCCATTCACCTCTATGTTCGGGTGGTTTGCCCTTGAAGGAGGTTGCAGGAGAGTGGAAAGCATTCAGAAGTTGAAGGAAAAGCTTTTCATACTTTTCTGGGATTAATGTTCCTACTAAAAGCTACACACATGTGGACCAAAATGTACTAAAATTGCGTGAGACTCCTGAGTAACGGACTTGATATATCATCATAAGAACAACTGCTAGAGCACTTTCAGAAAGTAAGTCCTTTTCAAAGTGATCTCTCAAAAAACAAAGACTATTAGTAACCCTCTAATTTTGTGGCCCTCAATTTTATTTACTGCTGTTTCCTCTTTGTGGACCGTGTGATACACACCAAATCTAGAGATGTTCATGTGTCAGGATCACAACTGCTGCCAGTAACTGCAGTTCTGTTTTGGAGGTGGCTTTGTTCTTTGTTTTCCTTTGGCTTTTTGCATATCTAATGATAACACGTAGCAGGGCAGCCAACTAACCACTTTTTTTCTTCCTCAAAACGAAAAATAGCCTTCTGCCAAAGCAGATGGAACCAGCAAAAAGAACGCTACGCCTCTTCTCATCTGTCCACAGGTGGAAGTGAGATAATGCTGAAAAAGGTGTCACCATCCCCTATTTCCAGTACCGTGCCTACAGACAGGTGGCTTAGCTGTTAATTTTTTTCCATTGGGCAGTACCTCATTTTTTAAATAACTTTAATTATCAGTATATTTCTAAATAAATGTCTGTAGTTCTGGACACATGGTCAGTCTTTTCCTGCTCTGGTGCATTATGTTTGCTATTCTTATCACTGATGTTTGGCTCCCATGCAAAACATGTCAAACATCTCAAACAGATATATGCCTTTTATTTGAACAGAGATGGACTCATAGATATAAAACCAGCAAAAAGGCCCATCTGATGAGCAAACATAAACACAGAAAGGATTTGATCACTGTAGCAGAATAAGCAGAGACCTGCTAAGGTGTAGCTAACAGCATTCCATGACAGGGCATATCTTCTGAACACATCCTCAATTCTGATGCTAAGCCATGCATCTTGGGAGATCAGGCATGCATCTGCAGTTTTACAGAGTTCTCTCATTAAAATAAGCATCTTTAAATCAGCCAGAATAACCATTCATAGTCTCACTGCACCAAAATAATTCAAACACCTAACTCCAATAAGCTCAATTTGTAATTGACTGTCTTATTCCTGCAGTCCTCTGCTGGAACAGGTTCAAGACCACAAATCTGCATCCTCAATACCTAGATAGTTTTTCAAACCTGAACTTCCTGCCAAAATCCAGAACACAGACGAGAGTGGCCAGAACATGCAGTATTCGGTGCTTATTTCAAAGTGAGGGAAAAAGACCTCAGACAGGGTAACATACAGACATCACTGTCCTCTCTATGCTCACTCTATCAAGTCCATGTGGAGAGCAGACATTTTTAATTATGTTGGAAAGCATACTAGAAAAAAAATGGTTTTCATATGTGTATGAAAATATTTTGTATATGTATTGTTATGTATGGTGGATGTATGTTTTCCAGATAGAAAAGTTAAGCTTGAATTTTATAACCTCATTGCACAATTTGACATTAGACCTTCCAAAGTCCATCTTAAGACACATACACACACACACATATATGAATGACTCTGCTTTTTTAAGTTATTCCTTTCTTTTTGTTTAGGTAGTCCCCTAATTACCTGTTAACGAGGCCTTTACTGTGGCAGGGGTTGGAAAAAGGCTTTCACGCCATGCTA